TAAAAGATGCCTGGTTACTGGAGTCATTAACTTCGAGTGTGATTCCACTAAGAATGTCAATTCCTCTCTGAGTTCCAACAATGACAATTCTGTGATAACAAGTGGATATCTAGAAGGTTTTGAGGCATCTGCTTCAAAAGATGGTTCAGACTTTAACAACAGAGCTAAGAGAGTGAAGCTTTCCGGTAATAAGCATTTGGATGTGAGGGACGAAAAGGGGTCGGCTTTGAATGGTTTTCCAAATTCGGATATTGCTAGAGAAACAGTACCTCTTCATTTAGTTGAATCATCTAATAGTGGTGTTTTAACTAGCTCATATTTGCTAAAGCAAAGCATAGAAAAAGGAAGAGAAGTTTATCTGGGTGGCATTGTCTCAGAAAGATTCAAGTCACAAAACTTGGACAGGTCCGATGGAAAGGAATTTAAAGCAATTGCCTCTCCTGTTTCTCAGGAGAGCTTCGCAACCAGAATGATCTGTGCAGGTGCTTCTACTCCTCATAGTGAGAAACAAGCCTTCTCACTGCAGCTGAACAATGGATCTAAAGTATCTCCTAATGAGTTAGTTATGTCTCAAACCTGTCTAAAGATTGATCCTAAAGAGGATCCCCGTCCTCTTCTCTACAAATATGCCTGTAAGTTGCTAAATGCTGCCAGATGGAAGATCGAGAAGCGCGCAAGATCAGGTAGGAAATACCTAGAAACTTTTTACATATCGCCAGAGGGACGGAGATTTCGTGAATTTGGGTCAGCTTGGAAATCGTTGGGTCGGATCCTATTAGCTGATCATAAGTTAATGGATACTAGTACTAAGAAATGGACCGGTATCAATGACTTCTGGTCTGATCTCTCTCTTACACTGCTGGACATCGAGGAGAACATGAAAAATATAAATCTTGCTAACACACGGGCACTTTGGTGGAGTGCCTTAGAGCCTTTTGTGATTGCTGTCTTCATTTCTAAGCAAGTTGGATCTTTAAGAAGAGGAAATAAAGTCGAAGTTGCAAGGAATACAGTTATTGATAAGTTCAAGAAAGATGATGCAACTTGTTTGAACATGATTTCAGGCTGTCCTGAAAGTGTGCTGACTTTATCTGAAGGTAGCCATCTTGTTTGTGACGTGGATGCTAGCCAAGAGATTCATTCAGATCTTGAGGTGCAAACTAAAATTGTCCGTCGAAAGGTTTCTACAGGACTAGAGAGGCAGAACATAATTGGTAAGGAAATCTCTGGGGCTGATGAGCAGGAGGTTAGCAAGGGAGTTGTAGCTTCAAAATTGATAGCAGAAGACATGCTTGAAAGTGTGATGAGAAAGAAGTTACACAGAAGATCCAAAAAAATATCGGACATCAAACTAGCTCCCTTGGACCAACATGATTCACTAGATTCTAATTCCCTCGACAACCTTGAAGGCCAGGATAAAGAGATGGGCAGCATTCATCTCATCTCAAAGAGAAGTCGGGATGAAAGGTTGAGGAATGAGAAGATGAAGAATTCATTTTGCAATTCAAAGAAAGGAAGAAAGAAAGCTAGGAAGCACTATTCTCAAGATGATGACCTTATGGTGTCGTCAGTAATCAGAAAGAAAGGTAAGGTTTGGAGATCAAGCCAGAAAAAGAAAACCCATAAACCAAAGGCTAGAACAAAAAAAAGAAACAATAAAGGAGGGTGCAGGCTGCTTCCCCGAAGCACAAGCAATGCGGAAAATCAAAATTTTCAAGGAAATTGGTCTATTTTGGGTCCAAGAACTGTCTTATCATGGTTGATAGCTACCAAAGTAATTTCTAGGGACGAAGTAATCCAGTTACGAGATCCAGATGATGATACTGTGGTAAAAACAGGCCTGGTAACTAAAGATGGAGTGGTTTGTACATGTTGCAACAGGACTGTATCACTTTCTGAATTCAAGAACCATGCTGGATTTAATCAGAACTGTCCATGTCTGAATCTTTTCATGGGGTCGGGAAAGCCTTTCGCTTCATGTCAGCTGGAAGCTTGGTCTGCTGAGTATAGGGCGCGAAGAACTGGATGGAGATCAGTGGAAGCTTCTGACGATGATCCAAATGATGATTCTTGTGGAGTTTGTGGTGATGGAGGTGAGCTGATCTGCTGTGATAATTGTCCATCGACCTTCCATCAGGCTTGCTTATCAATGCAGGTATTGTTTGGCTCATTCCAGGGTATAATTTACATTTTGGCTATTATTCGTCCCAGTAATTAACTCTTTGCAAAACATACACGTGGGGTGAAACTTCTCCAGTTGATATTTGCTCAAACATCCACGTGGGGTGAAACTTCTTGGCTGATTCTGTAATATTTACTGATTCAACTCTAGTAACTTACATGGTATTAATAACTAGGTTTTTTTTTCCCTTACTAGAACTTTATCCTCAGCAAATTGCTACCCTCTAAAGAGATTGGCTGTATAACGTTTGCTTTTTCTACCCAGATGCTCCCTGAAGGAAGTTGGTATTGCTCGAGCTGCACATGTTGGATATGCAGCGAGTTGGTCAGTGATAATGCTGAACGCTCTCAGGATTTCAAATGTTCCCAATGTGCGCATAAATGTAATCATCTACCGCACGCCATCTCTTAGAAATTATTATTTAATTCTTTATTACATGAAAAGAAAACCTCTAATTTGAATTTTCTTCTATCATGGCTCACTGAGATTTTATCATGATTGATGTCATTGTTCATCAATTACAGTTGTAGATGTTGATTTATCTGTCATTCTCAGCACTTTTGCAATTTTCCTTCTTTAGTAATTGACGCTTTGTAAAACTCACTTTTGGAGTTATGCCTCTCTCTTATTTTGGTTTGAAATCCACTTCGGCTGATGATTGTTACTTTTATGTTATCAGATCATGGAATATGTTTGCAAGGGGCAAGTAAACGGAGAAAACTTTTTCCAGAAACCTACTTCTGTGGTAAAGGTTGCGAGAAGGTATTAAGCATGCCTAGTCTCTGTGAATAACTTCCAAGTACATTTTAGATTGACGATGAGAATGATATATATTTCGTGCTCTTGGGCTCTCTGACATGTAACAAAGGAAGATGTTACAGCTGCTTAACAACTTTCTAGGTTCTCATTAAGTAGCTTGTGTAATTCAGGTGTACACTGGTCTCAGTTCTCGTGTCGGGGTCATTAACCCTAGTGCTGATGGTCTGTCTTGGTCAATTCTGAAATGTTTTCAAGAAGATGGGAGTGTTCATTCTGCCCGAAGAATAGCGCTGAAGGCTGAATGCAACTCGAAGTTAGCTGTTGCCTTATCAATTATGGAGGAAAGCTTTCAGTCTATGGTAGATCCAAGAACTGGTATTGACATGATACCTCATGTGCTATACAACTGGGGGTAACGTCCTTTTTATCTTTAGCTTGCAAACTTTGATTTCTCTTTGTTTCTTCTGTACCTTCAGTTCTGCTTTACGTCCTTTTTGTCTTTAGCTTGCAAACTTTGATTTTTGTTTGTTACTTCTGTACCTTTAGTTCTGCTTTTCATATTCATTGATTTGACTTACCTTTTTTGAATCTTTTGTTGCATGTAAAGGTCAAAATTTGCTCGCTTAGACTTTGATGGGTTTTACACAGTGGTTGTGGAGAAGGACGATGTGATGATCTCAGTAGCATCTATCAGGTTAGTATGATCTGTTTGGTATATCTTCTAGAATCCTCCAGGCAATGGAACGAAATTTGACTCTACCGGCAAATTGGATGCTTTGATTTATTCTTTCACTTCTATTCACTGAAACGAGTTACATATGAAACCCATTTTACTCTATCCAGGGTGCATGGAGTAACTATTGCAGAGATGCCTCTTGTAGCTACTTGCAGCAAATATCGCCGACAGGGGATGTGCAGAATACTTGTGGCTGCCATCGAAGAGGTACAATATTTAGAATGTATTCATGTGATTGTTCTCGAGGCTCGATCCACATTAATGATGTCTAAACTTAGTACAGTGATAGACATACAACACCCCCTCATATGCTGACCTTAATAATTTCGTAGCTCATATGATCTCTCTTCCATTCTTGTCTTGATTCCTTGGCTCTAAAAGATAAAAGTATTCATTGGTTTTGGCTGCAGATACTTATGTCTCTCAAAGTGGAGAAGCTTGTGGTAGCTGCATTGCCGAGTTTAGTGGATACTTGGACCCAAGGTTTTGGCTTTAAACCCATGGATGATGAAGAACGTGATGCTCTCAATAGAATAAACTTGATGGTCTTCCCTGGGACAATTCTGCTCAAGAAAACGCTCTACGAGAGCACAAACACCAACACTGTGAAAGGTAAATTCCACCCCTCTCTCTCTCTCTCTTTGTGTGTATATATATATATATATATTTACAGTGCACCCCATCGGATTCTTGCTCCTACACAGGCGTTTGTCTTTCTGAAGATCACAGTAAACCATCAAACAAAGAAGCAGATGTAGAGCCAGGCGTAGACAAAGCTGGTTTTCCCATGAATACCCAAATAGAGAGCTGTGATCAGATGGTTCCAGCAGGTTCTGATGAAGAGCCGGCCCCAGGCTTCCCCGTGCCACTTGGAGCCAAGGAAACAGAACCAACTTCAGAAACAGAGAACCGAAGCGGAGAGAGCAATGCAGATGATAGGCCAAATAAAACAACAATATCTATGGGAGAAGAAGAAGGTTTGCAGGAAGAGGTATCAAAGTTTTCAGAAGAAGGAAAAGAAATGGCAAGAGCTTCTTCTACCTCTGCAGCTTTAGAAGAAGTAAGTGATGTAGGAGTAGTAGTAGTAAATAATGTTAGTGATGACATGTTGCTTTGTTTCGATGAACAGCTTGACTCTGATAGCTCTGAAGAAGAAGAAAACTCGGAATAGTAGTATTAGACTAAAAAAAAACAACTATGACCGTTTTTTCACTACTATAATTTCTCTCGGTCACTTTGAAATCTTGAGTAATATAAGGAAACCGCATAAAAATAATGATCATCACCTAAAAGCGTGAATTAGGGGATTCTATTATATTAACTCTAATTTTCTTTTATCAACGTCCCACAAATTCTCACAACCCTAACAAAACCCCAAATCATCAAATTCCGGACAAACTATGGATTCCGATTCGTCCAATCCAGAACCGGACAGCCTCGTCTACCACCGGCCGATCTATAACGATGACGACGATCTCAGCAGAACCCAAAAGTTGATATTCCATTTCCATGTGGGTTACACTCTTGCTCCTGAAGTAGATTCAGACGGAGAAGATATAGATCTTCTCAACCCTGAAACTCAAAGCGTTGATCAAACCCTTGAGTTTGATAAAGATTTGCTTTTCAATGGAGACTGGGAGCAGATACAAGTCATCGTCTATGACATGATTGATTCGATTAATGCCCCTCGTTATAGTGAGGTTGTTTGGAAACTCACTAATGCCATCTTTGACTTGAAGAAGCGTGATGCCAACTTAAACGTGAAGGGGGTACATGTAGACATACATGTTATTGTGTGGTCGTTTCCTGATGTGGATGATGATGGTGTAGATGTGAGACTTGCGGTGGCTCCGGCGAGCGATGAGGCGGTGGTGCAACACTTGGAGACGGTGGTTGTTGAGAAGGAAAGCTGTTGTGTGATATGCATGGATAAGATCCTAGTTGGGTCGGATGTGGAGGCGGGTCGAATGCCGTGTTCGCATGTGTTTCACCGAACGTGTGGGGAGGAGTGGCTTAGGAGTAGTGGGATATGTCCTGTGTGTCGTGCCGTGTTCCCGTCCTAAGCGGTTTAAAAAGCCTTCTCTCTCCGTCTCAGCTATGTTAAGTGTTTACTACTTTTCGTTTATTACGTTTATTTTTTATGATCATTTATGCATGTAGTAGCAGTTGTTTATGAATGTTAACTTCTTAATGTTCAACACAATTTGATTCAACCAAGCTAGTTGTTTCATTGTTATTTTCTGTTTTAGTTCTTTCTTTTTCTTTTTCATATATTTGTTGCATTGCGTTTACAAGTACAATATAATCCATATAAACGTATTCAAAATTCGAAGAAACAATAGGACGAAGGACGAAGACATTGAAGAAGTACTGAAACTCATTTTTTTTTAAGATATATGAATATGAATATTGTTATAACGAATCCCCTGTAATTCAGTAAACTGCTATTGATTTATGTATATAATTAATTTGGTGGGATTTTAATTAACTTCGAAGATATTCTTCTGATTTTAAAAAGATTGTTAGAGATTTTATTAACCTAAATTAACAAATCTGGTAACTGTATTGGATTTTGAGTGGATATTGAAAGTGTATTCATTTCCAAATGTCTTGATAGAGAGATTAAAAAGTATAAGGAAACGGAACATTCTCTTTGTAATCAATACCATCTCTTACTAATTATGCCTACAACTCTTAAGAAGTGAACACACAGATATATATGTATACTTTTCACGCATTACCAAAAACGCTTTCACCTATCAATGGATGCAATTCTCGTTTAGTAGATTTGTTATTTTGTTTTTCATTGACAATACATTACTGATAATTAATGAGTGATTTCAATTTGTGTGGCTATTGACATTAATTAGTCTTCATATATTGGTCAAATTAATTAATTATTTGCCTAACTTGTGTTATCACTAATTTTAAAATTCCTTTTTTCCTAACCCTATGAATGTTCTTAAATTGTATCAATTCATAACTTTTTCATACATAAAAGTTAAAACATAGTAAAATAAAAACCCGGGCATCTTGAAAAGGATCCGACCCGAATCCGAAAATGTTGTCCTGAAGAAACGGAAAAAACGCGCCGTAGCTGGGCATTAACGACCGTTAACGAAAAACGCTTCGGAGAGATTGGATCCGCCGTAGCTGCTGGATCCGTTATTTAATCATGCCATCTTCTCCTAAGCTATTTCATGCGCGGCCATCATTCTTCACGCGCCGATCAACGCCTTTAATCGTCTTCACCTCTCTAGCTATCGGTCTTACCGGTTTCCTTTTCGGACTCTCGGCGATTCTTTTCCCGGGTCTCCGGTTATCCGGCCGGACCTGCCTCACCAGCTTGCCTCCGAAGACGGTGCGGGTCGTCTGGGATGTCGCTGGAAATAGCATCGTTAATGGAGCAGGCGGCCAAGTGAAGAGACACAAGGTGATGGGGTTCGTCGGAATCCAGACCGGGTTCAGATCAGCTGGTCGGAGACGAGCGCTCAGGAACACGTGGATGCCGTCCGATCCAGAAGGACTTCGACGGTACTGATTTCAAATTGATTCATTCACTGCTAGCTTTAGTTAGGGTGAATCAGTTTGTCACAAAAGGATTGAACTCATAAACTTAATTGGATAGGAATAGTGATCATTGATCTTAATCTTAAGTCTAGAAGACAGAATATAGCAATCTTCTGAATAGACATTCCTGATTTTTGAGACATTTATCTTCAATGCTTCATGATTCCTGGGGCTTTCTCTGTTTCACTGAAGAAAAACTACTGTTGTTGGCAGATTGGAAGAATCAACAGGATTGGCCATCAGGTTTATTATAGGCAAAACCAAAGATGATGCTAAAATGGCTGAGCTTAGAAGGGAAATCGCAGAGTACGATGATTTTGTACTGCTCGATATCGAGGAGGAGTACAGTAAGCTCCCCTACAAAACGTTAGTTAGAGACTAATACTTTTTCTATTCATATCCCATATGACATATGACATAAAAACTCTGATCCATGGTTTTATTTTTTTGTATAGTTTGGCCTTCTTCAAAGCTGCATACGCCCTATATGATTCAGAATTCTATGTCAAAGCTGATGATGATATATACTTGAGGCCAGGTAATTGATTGCATTCTCTGGTTTTGAAAATTAGTCTGTGTCTTCAGGAAAGTTCTGGATTTCGTAAGAGGTTGTTAATTCCTTCACAGATCGGTTGTCATTGCTGTTGGCTAAAGAGCGGAGTCACTCACAGACATACCTTGGATGCCTGAAAAAGGGTCCGGTTTTCACAGATCCAAAACTCAAATGGTAAGACGAAGAACAACTTATAATAAAGAACTAACAGAATCCGTAAACATTGTATTAAGATACGATTTTTGTGACACCTAATTATCTCTTGTGGTTCTGTGTACCTGAGAATTGCTGGAAATTGGTTGGATTTTTGTAGGTATGAACCTTTGGCTGATCTTCTCGGAAATGAGTACTTTCTTCATGCTTATGGCCCTATATATGCTCTTTCTGCTGATGTTGTCACAAGTTTGGTTGCCCTCAAGAAAAACAAGCAAGTTCTGTCTCTTCAATATTGATTTCTTTTGAATTTTCATCCGAGTAATATTTTTCTATAAGAACTTCATTTTCACTGTTAAAGAGGTCTCTGTTCCTCGATAGTTATTAGAGTCTATTTGTTTAACAAGGTGAGAAATTTTTTCAAACCACAGTTTCAGGATGTTTAGCAACGAGGATGTAACAATAGGTGCGTGGATGCTGGCAATGAACGTTAAACACGAGAACCTTCACACCCTTTGTGAACCAGAGTGCTCACCACACTCCATTGCTGTGTGGGATATACCAAAATGCTCAGGTTCATTTTTCTTCGTCCCAGTCTTAAGGAATAGATCTAAAGTTACTTCATATAAGCATTTCCACAACAAGTGATCACAATTTGGCTTGAATATGTTACTGCGGCAGGTCTTTGTAATCCAGAGAAAAGGATGTTGGAGCTTCACAAGCTAGATAGCTGCTCAAAGAGTCCAACCTTGCCATCAAATGATGATGAATGATCTACCCTATATATATATATATATATATATATATATATATATATATAGATCTTCTGTAATGATGCAAGATCCGAGGTGTACCAATTCATATATCTCTTTTTCTGACATGTCCGCCATTGAAGCTGCTTCATACAGATTGTGCAAGCCTCTCGGTTTTTCAGTTAGTCGGCTCTCTTCTCCCGCCGGAAATGTTAGAAAAGCTACGAGAAGTTGATCTCGCTTAAACAGCTTTAGGGTTCTGTTAAACTAGGGATAGCATTTTTTGTGTATAACAAGTTTTGTGTGATATCTTGTTGTACAAGTATAAGATTGAACTAATTGGAACTTCTTTAGTGATTAGTTACAAACTTACAGTATGAAACGATTAAGCGTCTCTTTCCGTAACTTATATTTTTTGTATCGTTTTGTTTTGTGCTATATGAGTTTTCAACAAGAGACTAGAACCGAACACTCTTTTTATATAAATTGTATATCTTCATATGAATCTTAAAAGGCTTTACACTAGAGGGATAGGTAAATGATTAGAGAAATAACACATTACCCTTAGTATTACGATTTGTTTCATTATTTGACAATAGCATAGCTGGCGTTAATTTGTCGTAAAGTCTTAAATCGATTTGTTACTAAAAGAAAAAGAAAAGTTATGTTACTTGTACGTGTGGGTATTTTTTTTCTTCATTGTATGTAAATCATAAGGAAGACTGAAATAATAGCATTTTTAGGTCTGCAAAAGGATAATAACTAAAATAGAAGAAGTAGCCTAAAATGTGGTCTAATATTATGGTTTTTACCCAGCAAAGACAGACAACGATATATATATCTTTGTTAAAAGCTGTCTTAAACGCCACAATCGTATAAATATATCAAAATCAAAAAACAAGAGAACCCACATCTTACAGTACTATTACTGCTGCCCAATAATTGATTATATGTCGTACCTCATGGCTCGGCTTAAACGATATGTATGCGAACAGAAAAAACTAGTCGTGGGTGATTGGTGAATGCATCGTTAGAATAAGCACCATTGTCTATTTTGATAAAAGAACAATACACGATGTGAAACACAGGTGTAATACATCTTAGCCAATTAAGGGAGTGCCTTTTTGTTAAAGAAATTAAGTGCGTGCTTACCAACTCTTTACTACAAAATCTCGACATATTAATTACAAATTTACAACCTCCGTTACGTTGTCTGATTGAAAGTAGGTCCATGAACCTATACCAACCAGGCTAAGATCTATGGTCTTGTCCAAAGGCAATGTATTTTAACGCATCTAATTAACAGCTGTAAGCCTGTAATTGTGCATAACTGCATATATCCAATATAGGATATTAGAATTCTAACAACACACATAATACAACAGATATATGTGTGTGCAACTGTGCATGCCATGTATTTGTTGTGTATACTATTGTGAATACTTCAACTCGGATCAGATTGCCTTCAAAGATCAATATAATCAAAATCTATTAAATCTAAACCAAACCAGAAGTTAAAACAGTAAAATGCGAGCCTTATGAAAGACATACTGTATATATATTAAAAAAAAATGTAAAATGAATGATTTGCATTATGAAGTATTTGAAACGTGTGGGCATATACCAAAAAAAAAAAGAGAAAACATGCGGATATACTGATCGATCCATCACTAAGATACATGACCAATACGTAGATGAAACGAATCTGCATGCGTCTAGCTTTTGTGAATAGCCATATATGCGTTACATATGTAAAGCACACACGTAGGTTTTCTATTATATTTTTATGCGTGTGTCAGTGCGTGTACATTTATATTTATATGTGTACTAAAGAAGTTGACAACTTTATTTAGTGTCGTAACTCGTAAGCTCTAAAGTAGTAAATGAAGAAAGAAAAACTTGTGAACAAAACCATATGTGTTTATATATGATTCGAGAGTTGTGAAGAAATTTAAAAGTATTAAAGACCAAATCGAAACCCGAAGTCAGCAGATTATTTAATACTAATACTTTAAGCTACTATTTTATTATGATAAAGACATTCCAATTTTATTCATGCAAAATAATCAGAGCCGATTTAATTACGAAGGTTCATGTTTCATAATTATATAGTAGTTGTAGTAGTAGTAGTGTTGCGCGGACATAGTCGTAGCGCAAGGCACGAGAAGGATTCAGTCAAGACTTTAAGATTTGAATATTGTTAAAATAGCTCAAACCAAAATCCTAAATTTATTCTCAAATCGCAAAATTTAGATCATAGTGACACTAGTTTTCATTTGACTAGGCAACAATCTTCTCAAAATTAATAATTTTTAATAGCAATTAAACAACAACTTTTTATATTCCTCACACAAACAAAAATGAATTTAATTTATCTGTACATTATAACATATACATTAAATTAATCTTAAATTTTTGTATTACGCAGTTTATTACACTTTAACGGAACAGAGAATAAAAATATAAAATACAAATATAACTTTAGATTATATCATTTTGTTTCACTCGCCCTTCGTCGTCTCCTACCTCTCCTCTGTTCTGAAACTTTTTTTTTCTCTCTCTCTCTATCTATGAGACAACAACAACAACATTCATTCATTTGCTTCATCCTTTGACATCGTTGAGATCCCCATATTTCCCTTCTCTCTCTCTCTCCTTTCTCATGCATTGTTCAGAACATATATGATCTCTCACTCTCTCTCTCTCTCTCTAAGGTCATTGCTCTGAATCTTCTTCCGGAGAGACACCATAAGGGAAATTTGGGGATTCATCATCGATCACTAACTTAAAGGTATCTCCTTTTATTCGTATTCCCGCTGAGACGAAAATGTTAAAGCCTCTTATACCGGAACCTGACTGCGTCGTCGATAAGCTCCGTGAAGATGATAAGCCAGATAGTATTATTAATGTGGATCATGGATCACCAATTACTCCGCTTCAGACTCGTTCGACCACTAGTAGTGGCAGTTGCAGTTCTAGCTCCTCTGGATCGGTAACGGGTCATGCTGGACATGCTCCGGTTTCGAGAAAATCAATTTCGGATCGGCCCATTTCGTCGGTGGACCAATCCTCTAAGTCGACCAATCCCTCTAAAGCTCGATCCTTTAAGTCTAACACACCCTCCGCCGCTAAATCTAATAGCACTCCCTCCGCCGCGCAAACAAAGTCGAGTATAAATGGCTCCGCCGCTCAATTTGGGTCTAGTAGCCCCGCCCGTGCTCAATCTCGTTCGAGCAGCCAAGTTGGCGTTAAAACAGGGTGCCCAAAGACCGCAACCGGGAATATGAGACCATCGAACTCTGTTTCGGGCACAACAAAACAATCTGGTAAAAGCTCTAGTGCGCTGCAACAGCATGTCAAAATACTTCCCGGCGGGAACCTTTTCCCGTCGGGGAAGGTACAGATTACAGGAATGACTCATGAGAAGCCGAAAAGCATGGTTCTTGCGCCAGGCCCTAAATCATACGGATACGGTAGCATAATCCCTGGAAACAATTTATCTCCGGTGAAGCCAACGAGGACGTCTGGCTCTTCTTCCTCTGTTTTGCCTTTAGCTATCCGTAGCTCTGGCGGTGTCCCCGACGCTGAGACACCGTGGAAGGTTGTTATCTATTCTTCGAATCCGGATGAAGTAAAGAGAATTGGAAACGAAATGTTTAAAAAAGGCTGTTTCACTGCGGCTTTGAAGATGTACGATCGAGCAATAGAGCTATCACCAAGTAATGCGACTTACCATAGCAACCGAGCAGCTGCATTGTCTAGTTTGGGTCAGATTGGTGAAGCTGTCAATGAGTGTGAAAAAGCTATTAAATTGGATCCAAAATTTGCAAGGGCTCATCACCGTTTAGCCTTATTGCTTCTTAGGTAAACTGAATTGCTTAAAGAATCTTGATAGATATTGGAAATCCTAATCAAATCTGAGTCTTCTTTATTTGGTTGCAGATTAGGTTATGTCGATAATGCAGGGATACACTTTTATTCAGTGGAAGAACCATCAGATCCCATGGTGGTGAGGATGCTTCAACAAGTAGATAGACACTTGAACAAATGCACATATGCAAGAAGACGAGGTGAATGGAATATTGTTTTGACAGAAGTAAGTGCAGCCATGGCGTCTGGAGCTGATTCTTCTCCTCAGGTACATAACTAACATTCTTGTATTAATCTGTGTTTCTTTTTTTTTTGGTAACATAAACAATCTGTGTTACTTTATGAAGAGTCATTAATTAAAACATTTTAAAGTGGTTTAAAGTATATTTTACTTAACTCAAATCTGCAGCTAGCTATGTGTAAAGTTGAAGCACTATTGAAACTCCTACGGCTTGATGATGCTCAAAGAGAACTAGAATTTGTCCCCAAAGTAGAACCATTCCCAGCCTCTTTCGCACAGACTCGGTTTTTCGATATGATATGTGAAGCTTACACATATTTTGTCAAATCTCAGATGGAGTTGGTTCTAGGGAGGTGAGATTTGTAGACATGTTGATTGATTGTTGTTTTATTGCAATGTCATGGGTACAAAGAATGAACAGAAAATGATGAATTCTTGCAGGTTTGAAAATGCAATTACAACTGCAGAAAAAGCTTCAGAGATCGATCCACATAACCATGAAGTTGAAATGTTGTATAGAAATATTAGATTAATTGTTAGGGCGCGTGATCGTGGTAACGATCTTTATGAATCAGAAAGATACACTGAAGCAAGCTCAGCTTATGCGGAAGGCCTTAAGTATGATCCATCCAATGCTACTCTATTATGTCGTAGAGCAGATTGTTTCTTTAAAGTTGGGATGTGGGAGAGCTCGATCGAAGATTGTAACCATGCATTGCTCATTCTACCGAGTTACACAATGTCTCGTCTTCAAAGGGCTGCTTCATATAGCAAGGTGAAACATATATGGTTTGAGTTAATTTTGGCTTTTCACTTGTTCTAAGTTTGTTTCTACGAAAATGTAGTTGGAAAGATGGGCTGAAGCAGTGAGAGACTATGAGACGTTAAGAAAGGAACTGCCTTATGACAAGGAAATTGCAGAATCTTTATTTCACGCTCAAGTTGCATTGAAGAAATCTCGCGGTGAAGTAGTTCTAAACATGGAGTTTGGAGGTGAAGTTGAGGAAATTTCTAGTCTTGAAGAGTTAAAAGCTGCATTGACCCGTCCTGGTATGTGATAATTTAAACAATAGCACTTACGCAGTCTGAGAGTTCCCTTTAGTAACTTGCTGTATACATCAATGGCAGGAGTTTCCATTGTACACTTTTTTAGAGCCTCTGATCCACAATGCAAGGAGATGTCTATGTTCATGGACGCATTATGTGTTCGTTACCCATCTTTACATTTCCTCAAGGTTAAAAACAACAAAAACTCCTATAAACATCTGTTTATGTAACCAGAGAAAAATTAAACTTACTTGTGAAATGTCTTTCTGTAGGTGGAGATTGTAAAATGTCCAGCAGTGGGTGATGCAGAGAGAGTGAGAGTTGTGCCAACATTCAAGATTTACAAACTTGGGATACGGATGAAGGAGATCGTGTGTCCTAGCAAGGAAGCACTGGAGAAAACAGTGAGGCACTATGGCCTTTAAGCAAACTCAAAACATGATAATGTCCATTTAAAAAGAGAAAAAAAGAAGATCACTTCTGATTTGATTCATTCATTTCTCTGTTAGGTTTAGGAGGAATCGAAAGAGAGATTAGTCCTGTGTACATAGAGAAAATTTTGGCTATTTAGGTGATGAAACCATATAAAATAAGCAGAGAGAGAACACCATTCATTCAATGTTGTCAACACATTTTTCCATCAATAAAAATTCTTCTTCTTATTGACCCTTTTACTTAATCAAGTAGTCCCTGACTTAGATCACTAGTATGAACGTCTTGGACAAAATTGATGGTTTAATAGATGATGATGATTTATGCTTGAAACACACACAATACAAGCCAAGATTGAGTGTTTTGCTTCTCTTAAAACAAGTGTGAAGCTTATCATCTCTTATTGTTTGGTTTTCCTCTCAAGAAAATGGCTACACCGGTGTGTGTGATTAACACTCGCCTGGTTTAAGTCTTAAGCAGTGTCATAGTGATAACTAACTGTACGCTATAATACATGCAGGCCAAATGTGAGCCGTGTGTCTTAAACAGCAAAACAAAACAATCGTGTCGTTTCCTCAACGCACCTCCCTTCTTTAACGGCACAGCTCTATTAACATGCCTGCTGTTTCAGGGACCACATTCAGACTTTAGACGACGTGCAATTTATACGTATTAACAAATGTAAATCGTTCTGAGACAGAGAGCAGTAGCAAAACGACAAAAGAAGGTAAACATTAAGATTCACTGTCTCTGTTTTTGTTTCCACACAGAGCAGTGTTAGGTTTTCATACAATCGAAGATTAGGACTTTAACGGTGGATACATAAAGTAAACTGTAATCCAACCGTAATAACTCATTATTTTTTGGATTCTATAAAGACATTATTTAAAAGGGCAAATAGAAAAAAAAAAAAAAAAAAAAAGGAGAAAATCAAAGTTTTGTTTTCTCTCACTGGCTCACTCACTTAACCGGTGTTTTGCAATCCTGCGGCGATACCCTTCATGGTTAAGATGAGTGTGTCCTCAAGTCCTGGCGCGTATTCACTCGTTGGGTTAAGCTTGACGAGCTCTTGTGCTGACTTGCTTGATTGCATGATCTCTTTGGAAATGTGTGGTCGCAGGGTCACATTGTAGTTTGGATCACGGATCCTCTTCAATGTGTACGCTTGGCAAACGTTGAGGGTCGTAATGTAAGAGTCACGCAGCCTCAGTCTCTGTTTCAAGTAAGGGTCTCCTTCAAGAAGATCTCTATGTCCAGCAGTCTGCAACAACGAGATTTTTAGTCAGTGGCATTGCAAGAAATAAACCGTAATGAATACGAAACAGAGGACTCTGCTTTTTGTTATACCTGGAGGACGAGGTTCTTGGTTTCTTCAAAGTTGGCTCTGAGTTTCTCTCCAAAAGCCCATAAATCTTCTGAGACAAGAAGTTTGTCGTACAAAGCAGCAATCCCGGGGTCTCCCTTGGCGAACACCATTTCAATTAGATCAATGGTGACTCGGAAAAATGGCCAGTTCTTGTACATATCTTGCAGCATGTGGAGGTTTCGCACATCTTTCTTAATCGCAAACCTAAAAGCTGCTCCGAAACCTAACCATACGGGAAGATGAAATCTTGTTTGCGTCCATGCAAAAATCCATGGGATTGCACGGAGAGATTCAATCCCACCGCTTGGTTTCCGCTTTGAAGGTCTACTTCCAATGTTCATACGTCCATACTCCAGCTCCGGAGTAGCCTAGAAACCAAACCAATGGTTTAAGGTACTTAAAACACATAAAAAGTTTGGTGATTTTTGAACTGATGTGAATGAATACTTACCAGGCGGAAGTACTCGACAAATCGAGGTTCTTGGAAAACAACAGATCGGTATTCCTCAGTTGCAACAACCGCCATTTCATCCAGCAAAGCACGCCATTCAGGTTTTGGTGAAATTGGAGGGTTCATTCCGTGCTCTAAAGTTGCAGCTGTGAAACGCTGAAGTGTTCTAAAGCATAAATGTTCCTCTCCAAATGATTGCTCAATGACTTCACCCTGAACTGTGACTCGAAGAGAGCCATTAACTGTATCCGGCGGCTGAGACAATATAGCAAGATGAGTGGGACCACCTCCTCTTCCGACTGTGCCACCACGGCCATGGAACATTGTCAGCTTCACTCCATATTCCTTAGCAACCTTCACAAGCTCTTCTTGAGCTTTGTATAGCTCCCAAGCAGCTGAGAGACGTCCTGCATCTTTGCCTGAATCTGAGTAACCGATCATAACCTCTTGTTTACCGTTAATACGGTTTTTGTACCAGTCAATAGAAAAGAGTCTAGCAACGGCTGCAGGAGCTGCTTCAAGATCAGCTAGCTTCTCAAAGAGTGGAACAACTCTAAGTGGCTTTTTCACATGGCATTCACGCTGCAAAAGCTCAACCGCAAGCACATCACTAGGTGAAGTTGCCATAGATATAATGTAAGCTCCAAAACAGTCTGAAGGAAGCTCAGATATGACTTTGAATGTGTCGAGGACATCAGCAATTTCTTCGGTTTTGGGAAGATCAGGTCCGAAAAGTGGACGCTTTCCACTTAGTTCAGCTAGAAGCCATTCCTGTCGGCCTTCTTCAGACCAGTCTCTATAGGAGGAACCGATGCCCAAATGCTTGGTGATAGCATCCAAGACATCTGTGTGGCGTTCAGACTCTTGCCTAATGTCAACTCTCACAAGGGAGAGTCCAAAGGTAGAGACTTGCCTCAAGAAATCAAGAAGGCTTCCATCAGCTATTGGGCGGTCACCACATGAACAAAGTGAACGGTAACAGAGCTCAAGAGGCTCCAAGAACTGTGTAAATAGAAGAGTAAACACAAATTGAACTCCGTAAATATATCTAGGGAAACAAGTGTGAAGCTGGGAATTAATAGAGAATATAATGACAAGAACTAAACAGGTTCTTAAAATCATGCAACAATTTAGTACAGAAACAATATTCAGTAGGTTGCTTACCTGTTCCACATTGGTGAAAGTAGCTTCTTCAGGAATGTCAGAGATTCCGTTACTCAGCAATTGACGAGAGCGCTCACGTGTGTGATACAGTTTATCCCTCACATCACCAAGAATCACACGATATGGCTCAGTTGGAGGAATTGTCTTCCAAAATTCTGCATTGAGTTAAACAAAAAAAATATATAACTTAAGAATGCAAAAGCAACACCATTGTATACTTGCAGTATGTGTTTCTTTTTCAATCTTGCAAGAAGAAAATCTCTAAACATTCGAACCTATGTAGTGTTTTGCTGCATCTTTCCTTGAGTTCCTGTGGAGTTCATCAGCCCGGGCACGGAACTCATCAGTGCAACGCCACATAGACAACTGCCAAGAAGAACACGAATGAATCAAGATAATTTTAAAGAAGGCAGACCTGCAAATGAGTACATGTAAAAAGAGATAAGAACCTCAAACATCAGGTTCTCGATTTGGTTATAATAGAGATTTGCAGCCATCATTCTAGCCAACAGGCACACATCTCTGGTGACCTCAGGTGTAACCCTCGGATTACCTGAAATTCAGGTAAGTCATATTAGAGGGTGAGCAAAAGGAAACAAGAGAAAGATTTGTTTGTCAGTGATCTGAAAAAACGCATGTACCATCACGATCACCGCCCATCCATGAAGAGAATTGGATCAATGGGGCATTGTAAGGGACACGTTCATCAATCCCAATGTTTTTCAGAGCTGTATCCACACGACGCAAGAACTTGGGGACACCATTCCAAATTGTCTCGTGGAAATAACTCATTCCAGCTCTCATTTCATCTTGTGGGGTTGGAGGTGTTCTTCTAATCTCATCGGTACGGAATGCAGCTTGAATCTAAACAAGACGGGAGAGTTTTAAAGGTCAGTCTTATGAAAACATATCAAATCAAAATGGTATAATCAAAAGAGGTTGAGTTCTTACCTCTCTTTGCAGAGACTCATCGAGCTCCTGCTTGTCATCAGGAGTAATGTCCTTTGCATACAGTTGGGCAAGACAGTCTCTTATCCTGAGAAAGCATTTAAGGTCAATACAAAAGCAAAAAAAAAAAGAGAGCTATCCAACTCTCTCGAGAAAACAGACAGCAAATGTCAAATCTAACCTCCCATGCTTTTGAAGCAATGATCTACGCACAGACTGAGTAGGATGAGCAGTCAAAACCAAATCCACAGTCTGATTCTTCAGGGCATCAAATATCTCTTCAGGAGACTTGCCAAGATCAGAAACGAGTCTCTTGAACGTCTCTTCGATATCGGATTCAGTAGTTGCAGAGCTCTCATCAACGAAATCACCCTTCTTGAGCTTCTTGATCCTGCGGCGGTGAGCAATCTGCACCTCTTCAGCCAAGTTGGCTAAGTTAAGCATGTGAGAGAAAGCCTTGGAGATAACAATGGAGTCACCAGGATCCAAACTCGTTAGAACACTCCCTAGTTCCTCAAGCTTCTTAGGTTCACGCTTCCCTTCATACTCAGCAGAAAGCTCGTATAGCTCTTGAACCTGTGCACAAGACCATTTTTATCAATTCACCTATAAATCAAAACAGAACCCAAAAACAAAAAAAGGATTCCATTTGACAAGTAACTTGCAGATCACATAACGAGAAGATTCAGATACACCAAAACAATTCCAATACATAACTCACACGTCAATCGAATCAGAATCAACGTATACACAGTCTCTGCTAAATCCACTATTAACGAGTAAAACCAATAAGCGGAACAAAGATGAGATTTTTAGGATCTCAAGCAAATGGGTAATGGATTGGTACCGTTTCACGGAGATCCTCGCCGTGTAAATCCTGGAGAATGTCGAGAAAACGATCGAGGAGAAGAGCATCATACTCAATAAGCTTATCGTCTTCACTGACTTTAGCAGGAACAAGTTGCCGAAGCTGAGCATCAATCGATGCCATCTTCTCTACGTTCCGACCCGCCATTATTGCCGATCAAATCAAAAATCTCCACCCACCACCCTCTGAGTTCTTCTGTGATCATACCATATCAAATCAAATAATTAAATCGACAAAAGCAGGAAAAAAAAAACTGTTGGCAACTGACTCAAAATTCGCCGAAAAAACAGAGGATTTGGTAAACTGGCTCCGGAAAAAATTATCAATTGATTTGATTTTGACAAACCTGAATTAAAAATAAGAAATCTGCGGAGAGTACGGGACCAAAGCAAAACGATGTTTGTCAGAAACTCAGAAGAAGCTAAACCTGATTCGGTAAAAAGAAAAAAGTTTTGCTTTTTATATTTTGGAGATGAAGGAATCAGATTCAGAGATGAAGGCGAATGAGAAAGCAGAGTAGGAGTATATATAGACGAGCAAGTGCGTTACACTGTGAAAGGCATGAGATTTGATGCATGCGCGCTTTGTTTATGTGGTTTTTTTTAACTCTTTCTTTTTTTCATTATATTTATTTCCTATTTCTGAAATATTTTATCTATTTTTGTATCATCAAATGAAGTAAAAAAAATTGATATATTTGGCAAATCCATCGTATTTAATTGCACAAACGAATAATACTTAGGGATATTCTTTTAAAATTTTACAAAAAATAACATTATAAAAATTGATAAAAATTAAAATGTATATATAGTAACAAAATAATAAGAATCTTTTTCATTAATTCCATTCAAGCTTTTCATATGGTGTAGATTTTATTATCGTTGAGTAAGAAAATGAAATTTTAGACGTAGACTCATAGTGATTCAATTGATTATGTGGACTGAAGATATTAAAGCATTCAAGAACACACATTTTGAATTTTGAAGTTTTGAGTGGTCAAAGATTTTCATTTCTTTAATTGTAACAGATGAGATCATTATGGAATTACCTGTAAGTGGATTTTGGTAAAATAGATAAATAGTAATACATAATCGTGTTTAGCTGATAAAGAAAAGAACCAAAAAAAAAAATACAGGATCGTGTGAGCTCGTGCATGCATTTTTGTATAGGCAAAATATCTCTGACTTACCCTAACTTTCACATACGATCAATCTATTTTTAAAAATCTTTTAGATCTTTATTTCTTTTCCCAAACCTTTATTTGTAAAAAAAACAGCTTATTACTTGATTTGCTACTTATATATATATATATATATATAAACTTTTTTTTTTGTCATCATATATATAAACTATAAAGATTATATGCTTTTTACTGGTCAGATAATGCCGAAGACTTGTATATAAATAGCATCAATTTTTTTACATGATAATACTATATAATTTAGTACAATAATAAGAATTATAGATGGTTATCAAAGGGGTATTCGAATCACTGAGTACGTCATTATAAATATGTAACTCAAGTCAACCAAGTTTGTGATCTCTTGTTTAAAAAAATATGCATTGAGCTTTGTGATTTGTATCGCCTTCGTGGCTTCTTTTGTCTATGATCTGTTCGAATATTCGATTCAATTCTGATTCATTTTCTTCGCAGTATCCCCACTTAATTAAAAAAAAAAAAATACATTGATTACGTTGCAAATTTATAAAAAAAAATGCCGTTTCAAACTATCGAAATATTAGAGTTAAGCCTGTCAAATATTTTGGAATATAGTAACTAAACTCTATATATACGTTTATGATTACTAAAATTAGATTAGAAAAATGGCTCTTGGGTAGACTGATTCGTTTAAAAGCATTAGCATTGACCCTTTTGTATCTCTTAAATAGCTTTTTAAAAAACAAATCATGCCGTCTTCTTAATTTTGAAATCTAGCAATAATGCAGAATTAATTATAACTAAAACCTTAGTAGTTTATAGATCGCTTTATGGAGAACTAATTAACAAAGTTCAATAATTGGATAATATATTGGATGAATGATGCTAGCTACATTATTATAAAGGGGGTTTTGATTTTAAAGGATGTTTTTTTAAAAATTTGTTTTTTTATGCTTTCTGCGATAAATTGTCAGTTATACCTAAATTACCCTTTTAAATAAATAAAATTAATTTTTAATTAATTTTTAAATTAAAACATATCAACAATTAAAGATTAATAAGATTTAATGTTAAACAAAAGAGTTTTGGATGAAAGTATGTTGATTTTGATATTGAAAAAATCATTCTGCAATATTTAGAATACATCTTCTGTATTCTAAATATTTTAGATTATGAATTCTGCACACTCTACATGTTCTAAAAATTGTAGATTACAAATTCTTCGCATTGCACTTGTTCTGAAAATTTTAGAATATATATATCTTCTAAAAAAATTAGAACTCAGGTTTGGTTGGTGTTCTACAAAATTTGGAATATGTATTCTACATGTTACTCTATATTCTACAAATTTTAGAATTTATTTTCTACACTTTACCCTATATTCTGCAAAAGTTAGATCATCAATTCTACACTTTACTCTTCGTTCTTCATATTTTAGAAAATGTATTCTACGAATTTTTAGAACTATCTTATACAAGGAAATTGAATCCTAAATTAAAGGAAACAAAATATTTTGTATTCCCTAATATCTAGAAATCATATATTTTTATTTTGAGTGAACGTTAGGTGTATATACAGTCCTTGAGTTTGACCAAAAATTAAAAACTAACAATATCAAAGAGCTAGTCTCAAACAATCTTCCTAGTTTAGGTTTGATAATCACGAACAAATGAAGTTTTTATTTTTCAGAAAATTTTGACATCGTCGAGTCTATCTTTGGTTTTTTTTACCTTTTTACAATATTAAATGAGAAGAGTTTTTTTTTTAAAATGAAAAATAATATATGTTTTTGATTTTTTTAGATTTAAGAATATCTTTTTTTCTTACAGAAAATTTCCTAATTTGATGTTTTTTTTTTTCAAAAAGTTTGATGTTTATTTTCATATAGTTTAAGTAATGATATAATTGAGCATTTTCCTATTATAAAACCTAATATACCAAACTTAAAAAAAGAAGGCATAAATGGACAAATTTAAAAAAAAACATCCTTTAAAATCAATTTTCCCTATTATAAACTTATGCATTAGTGATGTGATTAGTGGTTTGGTGTGGGGTCAGTGTCGGTGATAATCCGGTTGACGTATTAGATTGATAGTTAACATTATTTATCAGAAACATTCGAGGAGGCCCGTAACGACAATCAAATACAGTAATATGCTTCATTTTTATATTTCTCTGTCCTTTGATTAAACAATAATCACTAGTGGGATGATTCATGAAAACAAATATGGTGATTGACTGATTCGTGTGAGGCTCTTTTTAAGTTAATGAAACTTTGTACGTTGCCATTTCATTTGACTTTATATATCATATATAAATTATATTGTCTTGTTATCCTTTTTTTGTTACCTCCAATATTCTGCTCTTTCTTCACTTTTAAATTTCATTTTCATTGTTCAATAGAAATTTATTTTTATGTGTTTTAACTTAAATTTAATTGTATTAACAAAAAAAGACAATTAATTTAGTTTGACGAAAGAGGTAAAGAAGGCCCATTAAATTACTGGTTCGAATTATGGGCCGTAACTTACGGCTTTGTAGTTAATTCGGTTCACATTACAGAAAACCGAACTGGTAAAATGATTCGAATTAAACCAAACCAGATAAGACATAACATATTGATAGATCGGTGATAGAACCATATGTAAAAAGTGTGATAACAAAGAGAAAGCGTATAAATAAACCAACTTCATAATTGGTTAAAATTTTTACCAGAGTCATACATATCTCAAAATGAAGCAGCAACATTGGAAGCCTATGAGCAACTCAAAGACATTGTTAAGAGTTGAGCACAGCTTGGTCCAGAGGACTGGAACTCCTCAGGCTAGCAAAACAAAAACAGGACAGCTTCCAATGTTTTCTCATAGCAAGTTACCAACTCCGGCATCGATTCTGGGTCAGACATAAAAGTTTTTCTCTGATTCCTGCACCAACTTAAAGAAATTCAAACATACATTCACAAAACTTTAAAAGCAGATTTCTTTGTTGTAGGGACTTGTCTTACTTGTCTGTTCAACATTTCTCAGACAACCAACTCAGATTCAGCTTTTTCTGCAGGAATATGATTTTGGAAGACTGTTTGGTAATCCAAGCTTCTAGCGGTTTCAAAGAAATGAGCCACGGCCTCCTCAGGTGTTCCTACCAAGACACCGTGTCCTAGATTGAGAATATGTCCCTTTGGTCCAGCACACTTCACAACTCTGACAACAAAAGAGAAAATTTCTTTCGGTTTCTTGAATTGAACTTATAACTCTATCATCAGCTGAACAAACTAACTACTTACCTTAGAATTTCTTCGGTTAAAGCAGGGAGCGGAGAGAAAAGGTAAGCTGGATCCACATTTCCCTGAACACTAACATCGCTTCCCAGTCGCCTCCTTCCATCAGCCATATCTACAGTCCAGTCAAGCCCAATGACATCAGCTCCAGTTCCCTTCATTCGTTCAAGAAGGCCACCATTTCCATTGATATAGAAAACTACTGGTGTATCAGGGCATCTTTTCTTTACAGCATGAATGATCTGCCAAACCCAAATGACAAGAAAAATGTTAAACATTAAAAGAGACTCTAGTCCTCAAGATGAAGTCACTTAAATTATACCTCTTCAATGTAGGGTTTGGACCAGCGTTCCCACATCTCAGGAGTCAGTTGGCCACCCCATGAATCGAATATTTGTATGCAATGAGCTCCATGCTCAACTTGGTAAACAACATACTCGGTAATGGCCTTGGTTAAATGAGATAATAGAGCTCTCAATACATTTGGTGCAGTGTGGCACATATTCTTTATGACAGTATATGTCCGAGTTGTTCCTCCTTCAACAATATATGTTGCAATTGTCCAAGGCGCTCCGACAAAACCCAATACCGCAGCATGTTCCCCAACCTTTCAAAACAAGAATCCGTTTTCACAAACTGGAAGGTATTGATTAAGTCTAGGGGAAAGCTAAGAAGAAGAGAAAGACCACCTCTTGTCTCAGAATCTTGAGAGAATCTCCAACAAACTGCAGTTTCTCGAAATCAATGGGATGCAATCTCTTTAAATCTTCTTCAGTTCGGATGGGAGATTGGATCACAGGGCCTTTTACATCTTCGATGTCAAATGGGACACCGAATGCGGGTAAAGGCGTGAGGATGTCAGAGAAAATGATGACACCGTCTGGTCTGAAAGCTTGCCAAGGCTGCAAAGAGATTTCGACGATTAGATCAGTGTTCTCTGATCTCTCTCTGAAGGATGGGTGTTTCTTGGCGAGCTTTTGGTAAACAGCCATATACCTTCCTGCCTGCCTCATCATCCAAGCTGGAGGGCGACTCACGGCTTGGCCTTTCGCAGCCTTAACTAATAATGGATCTGATTCAACAATTGAAAACAAAATGTGGACATGTGAGAAAGCTTCTTTAGACTTAAAAGAAGGGATAAGGCTACAGTTTCATTGATTCTTACTAGCTAAATTTCAAGTTAAGTGACCTTAAACTGGAAATTTCATCTCATATACCACATGCTCAAAAGAGAAAGAAACACCATTTCAAGGACAACTTGAAGCTAAACCATCTAAACTCGAGCGCTGTACAAATTGTGACATTCCAATGAGCAGCTAGAAACCCAAATCGACCAAAACCACTTCACAATAGAAAAGCACAAATGTTTTAGAATTTAGATTGCAGGAGAAACGTACCGGAAGAGGAGGAGGAGCAAGCTACGACGAGCTTCCGAGCAGCAATATTGTGTCTTTTTGGATAACAAACCAATCCCACATTGATGGGACTCGATCGAAACCCAATCGGCAACGACAATCCTGAGGAGTAACATCTCGACGAGCTACAGGCACTGTGTTCAACAATATGTCTCGTAATTTAGCAAAAAAGTACTAATCGAGCATAAGTGAAATAGAAGGAACAAAAATTGGAACTTTAATCGGACCTGGTTGGTGATGATAAGCTCATATTCAATCACAGAAGAACCTACGAGTTTGAAGATCAAAGCTTTGTGTGATTTTTACCCGCTCCTTGGTCCGGTCTGGTCAGATGTTTCCTTATCACCGAGGGAAGACAGGGAGAGATGCGATTGAAAGTCAAACGTTTGACCTTCTTAAGTCATTCTCTTCGACGGCTGTTATTTAGCCACGTATGATATATCTAGATAATAGTAGGACCCACCATCCGGATTTCGTTAGTTGCTTGCTGCTCCTTTGGGGTAAAACTTCCGGTACGTTTCTCAGGTTCGGTATATTACGGTTCAGAGGTAGGTTTAATCTGGTACCAATTCAAATTGATCGGTTAATTGCACACCTGAGTGCTTTGTACTAACTATTACCAAGGAAGGAAACACAGTTCATAGACTGGTTCACTCACTGTGAGCCTTGTTAACCAGGGTAGGCAATTTATACAGCAAATCTGACCAAACATCGTTTGAAAAACTGGAAAATACAGAAGAAACATATAGAGGAAAAGTTTTATTATTATTTGAAATGTTTCTTTCTCCAAAATTTCAACTACAACAAGAGCGAGATCTGTGTCTCTGGTCATATATCAATCAAGCAAGTAAGGGATGTTGCCTGGGTAGGTGCTCGAGCCGTGGTGGCAGCTTCAGAGTTTTCTTCTTGCAAACAGTTTCAAGCTGGTCATATAGAATTGTGTAGTTGTGGCTACTGATGTTTCTGAAGTAACATTGGTCACTTCCAACATAGTTATACACTTGTTGTGTGCTTCCATATCCATTGGTCACTAAGTGATTCTTCACCGCTATAACCCCTTGCCCTTCTTGCTTGTTTTCAAGCTTGCTCTTGAATATTCTCACCAACCCGTTGTCGCTCTCTGATCTCTCCTCGTTGAATCCTATCGTTACATTCGCGATCTCCAGAGATGTGTTATTCTGTTCCTTCTCAGAGTCAGAGTACAGGTAAAAAGGAAAGGTCTTGATGGAATTTGCGGAGTAGACCTCTCTCGAGGCTCTCTTGGCGTGAATATGATCATCGGCTTGGATCAACTGATCTATGATCTGCAAGCTCATATCTTTACCTACAACCATCTTGTTTACATAGCTGAATTTTTGAGTAGCATTGGTTATGATGTCCCCATGAGAGGATTTGACCAATCCAATCGAAGTTATTGACCTATTTGCTTTCGTCGTGAAGTTTCCATTCAAGCCTTTGAAGTGTGAGACAGAGCTTATCTTTACAGAGCTTCTACTGAACTCCAACACCTTTCCTTCGACTATCTCCCTCTCCTGATCCAACCAAAGATGCAAATTCGCATCGATATACCAAACATTCAATGCATTTGTCACACTAAACCCCAGCTTATGAGTCTTTTCATCCAACAAACTTCCCAAGAAGGGCGTGATTTCGATATCATAAGTCGGCAAATCAAAAGAACCTATAGCAGTGATTGGTCTCCAGAGCAAAGGATTGATCCCACCAGTGAAAACAACCGGGAAAGGCCAAACCGCACCAGCAATATGGCCGTCGAGACTAACCACAACTTCTCTAAAAGGTCCATTACCAGCAGCAGTGAGATTATTGGCAGTAACGAAGTCATTAGGAAGATTACCATACCAAAACTCATCATTCTCATGGAAAGAAACATAAACCTCAAGAACAGCTCTATACACATTCCTAGGGATCTCAAATTCCTTATACATAGAACCATTCGGATTCACGATTTCAAACCACAATCCATCATTTAGCGGGAGGTTTCTTGAAATCGGCAAGATCATATCAGCTTGATGAGAGCTGTAACCGGAAGAAGAATCGTCAAGATTCTTTTCGAGTGGATAGAAATGGAAGATCACATCAACATGGTAAACACCAGTATAAGTCTTATCTATAACATTACCGAGATAAACAGCGAGGATCTGAGTCTCGTTCTTAACGAGCATAGAGTGATACTTAGTCACATCTTTCTCAACAGACCAAACGATACCGTTTGGTCTAGGCTCGGCGGTGCAGCTCCGGAGAATCTCAACGCCGTCAAGCCAAATGCCGAATATACGATCGAACTGTCTTCTTTGGCTGGTGGATTTGAATTCGAGGACGATTTTGGAGAAATCTCGAGATGAGCAGTGGGAGGGAAGAGTGTAATTGGCGAGAACCGGTGGTTTAGTATAGGTGTAGGCAAAGTCATGGTGGAGAACATGATACGAGCACGGTGGTTGAGATGTCGGAAGATTTGGAACGGGAGGTTTTTGAACCTCGAAGTAGCGAGTAGGGGATTGGGTAACGGTTTGAGGAGAAGGAGAGACGAAGAGAGGAGAGAATTGTGGAGGTTTGAAACGTGATCTGGTCTCGTGGAGATCGGCGGCGACGGTTGAAAGAGAGTGGACGGCGAAGAAGAAGAAGATGAGTAGAGAAGTCATGACCACTTTTTTTTTTTGGTTTTGGTCTCTGTCTGGTAATCAAACTGATTTTAAAGAAAGCTAATCGCCTAATCCTAATTAATTATTACACTAATCTTTTATTTAACTTCCAAGAAAAGCAGAATTACTTTGACTAACTCTTTGACTATTTAATTACTGGGATCACTGATTTTATAAAGCTAATCATAAATTGGTAATCTAATATTTTTAGTAAACTTGTGATGTTTCCAAGAAGTACCTATATAGTACTCCATTAACTTGGAATTGATTATTTCTTGGGACCATGATGAAAACGTTCCTTCTAATTTAGTAAGCATCCCGGATTATTCTAATTATGGATTGAAACACTAATATAGAATAGAATAAACACTCCCAGGTGGTTTTTACTTTCTAGGAAATCAATCCCAAAACGTAGCATATAAAGAATAGCTAGTTGTTGAATCTTTGAAGCAAAGTAATAGGGTACCCAAGTAGTACAGTTACTACAATCACATAATCATCATCATATCCAACTTTCACAAGCAAGTGAAAGGAAAAACATGAACACTGACTACACACTAAGAATCACTGCAAAGGTTTTGTTCTTCCTTTGAAAACATTTTAATTAGAGACTTGGCTTAGCTATGGATACAAGTATAGAGAAAAGTATGAAGAAAGCTGTTGAAATTGAAAGAAAGTTAGTTCAGAACTCAGAAGTATTTTTATGAGAGAGAACGGTTGAGCATAGAGACTTGGCCAGAATCTCCATTGAGTAAGAAGACTTCAAGAGGAATGTAAGGAGAAGACGAGGAATTTGATCCAAACCTGTACACAGGCTGCAACAGTTTGCTACCTTTGGCACATTGAATCGTTAGAAGACGCGGACCTGTTCTCATCTGCCACACCTGGATATAGTTCAGAGAAAACCAGTCACGCATATAATCAAAAACAATAATAAAGTTGTTGAGAGAAGACATTCTTACCTCGATGATGCCTTTTCGTGGCGCGTGAATGGCTAAGCAAAGACAGTAATCACTTTTCACCGGTTCTGTGTGAATTACTGCTTTTCCTTTATCTTTTTTGGCTAACATCTCCATGAACACACAGCTTGCATCACGATAACCCTGACAAATAAAGTTGAGATGTTGCATTAAAACTCTTTGCAAATTGGTTCTTCTCAAACTGGTCTTGCTTTTTGCCAACCTTCAATGTCTTTGATCAGAATTTAGAGAAGAAAATTTAAGCGAAGAAGTATCAAGGATCAAGGATGTTAAAACAAACCTTCCAAAGCCGGACAACTACGAGAGCTTGAGTGTCTAGCAGAAGTATTCGACCAAGAGAATCTGTTATCGCAGCTAATGTCCCACTCGGGGATAAAGTGAGCTTCTCGCCTTTCCTAGGGTAGTCCTTTATACATGTCAAGGATGATGCTGCACCATCATTTTAACAAGGTTAAGCCAAAGAGTGATATATTGTCAAGTGATCAGAGGGCATGAAATCTACCTCGAGCAAATGACTGAGTCTTGGCTTCTGGTTTTCGCTTAGGTGATTGATCATTACTTCTCCAGATCAGTTTGGAAAAAGAAGCTATGGTTGAAGCAGCTGCAGGCACAACTTTTGAAAGAATCGCTCCAACAAGCGATCTACCTCTGTCTTCTGAGAGCCTTTAAAAAGATAGGGATCAAAGTAAGTGTTCTTTAATGAACAGAAGAACATCATAACAGTAACATATCAAAAACAATCATCGGAGATATTACCAACCTGTAAGCCGAGATTACAGAATCCTCTCCAATGGTAACTGCACAATAATAACGTTGACTTGACTGTCAAAGAATAAAATTAGCCAGATTTATAAACCGGAATAAATTTCAAAAAGATGTCTCTATTCTTTTTTTTTTCAACAGCCTAAACGTAAAATCAAAAAGATTATGCTTTACTTAAAAAACAGCAGAGAAAGAATTCTCTAATTTTCTTAGTTTGAAACAATCAAATAAACATCACTACCTGAAGTTCTAGTAATGGAGGAGGCATTACGCCAGTGACAGTAGCATCAACACACACACCATTCTTGTTGACATTCCATATCTGATAAGGTAGTCGTTGGTACAAACTACCAGTATCTTCTACATCTCCCTTTCTATTCTTTTGGTCCCAAAAATTAGAATTTTGTTCTTGAAACCATTTCTGAAGCATAATCTACAATTATGCGGACAAAAATAAACAAATCTCAGAACTTAGCAAAAACATCACCTCAAAAAATTCTACTTTGTCAGAACTATTTCAACAATACCTGAATGTTGGAGCCATCAAAACGGGCAATAATACCAGGCATTACAATGCAGATTTCCTCAGAGGATGTCTCTTGTATCAAATCTTTCTTAGTTCCTCGAACTCTTATTTTCAAGATACGGCTTGGATGTACCATCTGTAAATGCAGACAAAAAATAAGTAATGCATCTATAAGATCACTTTAAAGTAAAATAAAGTACCCAACAACAGAACAGCCACAATGTTTTCAGACAGGATTGTTCATTAAAACCAATGTTTCCGCATTTTAAGCAAACATCAGTTTCAAAATCGGGAAACTAACAATGGAGTTTCGAAATTTTAACCTGCTTATGAATCAGATCACCGGCAACGGAGTAAACCAGGAGATAACCACAAGAAGTCCCTGCAACGACGACTCTGACGTCATCAAACACTAACCACTCAATCGCCGTAATCGACTCGGCCTCAATAGGAGACAGATCGGGTCTGATCTTGACACGAGGCGCATCAGGATCACCCCAATTCACAATCAAAATGAGAAATCGATTGGCGAGGGCTAAAGAGTGAGAATCAAGTGCACATAAAATATTAGGATTGTTCACGAGCCACCCTTCTTTGCCCGCACCGAGCTCGCTAAGTTCCTCACACGCGATGCAGCCTAGTTCCGTAAGGTGGATCCTTTTCGCCATCGCAAATCTACTGAACCAAAAAAAAAAAAAAAAGATCAGATTTTTTAATTCTTTTGGTTACAAATGGCTCGCTGAGTCGCAGAGGCAAAACGCCGTCGTATCTTTGTGCTTATATTATTACAGTTTCTAAATCATCTCTAAGCTGTTTCGAGAGAAGCAATGCTGTGTCAAGATTTATCCTTTTCTAAAACCCTGAACCCTAGCTTCTCCTTCCGTAAATCTCCACCCAAATCCGGCGTACGAAGGGTCGTTTCGGTTTTACCGGTTATTACTGAGAGAAATTATGCGTTCAGGCTCAAAAGCTCCGAGCTTTTTCTCAGAAATGATGCTGGATTCCGGCGAGACGTGCGGGCTTTGGCGGGGAGGAGCAAGAAGAAGCTTGGAGGAGGTTCATCTGGTGGGAGGATAGAAGGAGATGCAGATATGAGGAAGCAGGTGAAGCGAAATGCTCGTGATAAGTCGAAGAAGCTAGCGGAGTCTTTGTTTTACAGATTGTATAATAATCCTGACAAGAGTCGAAGCAACATTCTCAGTAGCCACCCAGATAAGTTCACGGAAGAGGAGCTTGAGATGATTGGGCTTGGATACGATAGGATGGTTCGGTTTATGGATAAGGACGACCCGAGATTGCGTCATCCTTATGATTGGTTCAAGTATGGAGAGTTCGGACCTTACTCGTGGCGTGGTGTTGTGGTTGGTGATCCGGTTCGTGGTACTATCTCTGATGAGTGTGTTACTATGATTGGTGAAGTGGAGAATCATGAAGAGTTTGAGAAGATTGAGCAGCATGAGATGAATTTAGCTTTCCAGAAGAGGGTTAAGGAGTTGGATTCAAATGTTGGTTTGAGGTATTTTTGGGTTTTCGTTAGGCATCCGAAATGGAGACTCAGTGAGTTGCCGTGGGAGCAATGGACGTTGGTTAGTGAAGTGGCTGTGGAAGCGGATAAGAAGCAGAGGCTAGACAAATGGAATTTGATGGGGAGATTGGGGAACAAATCTCGGTCTTTGATATGTCAGTGTGCCGCTTGGTTTAGACCTGATATTGTGTATGTGAAGAAGCCTGTGTTTCAGTGCAGGTTTGAGCCTCAAGAAGATTTCTTTAACTCGCTCATCCCTTATCTGAACCCGGTAACAGAATCCGGATTCGTGTGTGAAGTGGAGGATGATGAAGGTAGAGTGGAGTTGAGTACTTATTACGGAGGGCTGTGTAAGATGCTGAAGGTGAGACAGACAGCTTTTGTGGATGATGTGGTAAATGCGTATGAGAAGTCGAGTGATGAGAAGAAATCCAAAGTGTTGAAGTTCTTGCTCGGGAACCACCCAAATGAGTTGTTGCATCCATATACAAAAGAGTGGAAAGCAAAGTTGGAGGAGATGGAGCTAGGGTGTGATGCTCCAGATGAAAATGAGGATGAGGTGAACATTAGGGGAAACTCAGAGAAGGCTGAATTCTCAGAATGGATTGAAGATGAAGCTGAGAATGACAATGATGATGATGGTGGTCAGGTGGATGAAGAAGATGACGACGATAACATGGTTGTTGATGTGGAGGGAAGCGAGGAAGAAGACAGTTTAGAAGGTGTAATAGAAGAGTTGGATCCGGAAGATGATGAAAGGTACTGGGAAGAGCAATTCAATAAAGCAACGAGCAACGCAGAGAGGATGGAGAAGCTTGCGGAGATGAGTATGGTGGTATCAGATAAGTTTTATGAGAAGCAGTTAAAGGCAATGGAGGAGAGGGAAAAGAGTGAGATTGAAGGAGATGAGTTGGAAATGAGAGGTAAGAAGGCAAAAGTGAAACCAGAAGAATGGAAGACAGTAGGATATGGAAGGTGGATGAAGAAGATAAAGAAGAGTAGGATCCCACCTGAGCTGTTTCTCCGTGCTGCTGTTCGGCCCTTTGTTTACAGAAACCTTGTCAAAGAGATTGTTCTGACAAGACACGCCATTTTGGAAGGCGAGATTGGTCAAAAGGAGTGATATCAGATCAATGTCTATTTTGATGTAAAAGAGACAGTATTTGATGTATGTTATTAGCATCAGAAGATAATTAAAACTTCCCAACCTAATGTATCTAAATGTGTCTGAAGTAACTCTTTTTTTGGTTATCAATGATTTCTTTTTTTTTTTTCTGCAACCTTGTTTGTTCAAAATTCAAATGAGTTTTTTTTTCCCTTGGTTGAATAAGCTTCTAATTGATGCTTAAATAGTAGTTATATACAAAAGTGTGTTAAACACATACCGATAGTTTGATCACAAGAAGCATACTGATAGTTTGAAAAAAGCCTACTGATAGTTTGATCACAAAAACCAAAAGAAGTTGCGAGAAGACTGATACAGCTAAGTCCCTGCTTATGTACTTTAAGAGATAAAGTACTCCTCCGGGGTGTAAAACTTTAGTCCACTCGCCTGCAACCAAAGAGAGTAGTTGTCTATGAGGAAAGTGGAGAAAAGTATATTAGGTGAATTAAAGGAAAGGTACAGGCATTGTCTGAGATATCTGATGTTTGTAATAAACACCTGCGCAAATTTGATGTCAGCATCGCTGTGATCTATTTTTCTTCCGGCTGCATCCCCAACGTAGAAGGATCTGATGAGCACAGCACAGAATTTAGTATCAACCAAACTAAGAGAACACAAACGTATGGAGTTCAATCAGGAAGGGTGGTGGACTGTATGTAATGTAATCTTCCAGCTTTACTAAAAGTTTCAGGTAAATCCAAGTTTTTAAGAGCAAGTTAGGAGAAAACTTACTTATCCATATCAATTGCAATTCCAGAGTTAAAATGCTTCTTCATGAGTTGCCACATTCCAGCCTTAGGTTTGCGATAAAGGTCCTCTTTACCACCAGAACTTGAGACCCCGCAGGCTATAAACACCTGTTTAACAAAACCATTTATAATCTTCACAGTATCAGCAACATGTTAGGGAAACTGTCACTTTTGAAATTTTTGGGTTTTAGCTAACAATAACTTGCAAGACATCATAACTAGTTTCTCATTTACTTTCAGTTACTACTAATAATAGCTACGATTTACTGAAACAATGTTCTTGAGTAGATACATGACGTTTAAGATAACTAAATGCACTTCACCTGAATGGGAACCTCCACGCGCTTGATAAAACTGTTGAGACGTCCAATTTTCGAATCTACAGCAGCTTGCCTTTTGTTCTTCCATCGATCAATGTTGGATTCATTTGTGAAAATGACCTGTTGAGCATTTAAACTCAGCAAATCTATATAAGCAAGACTATGGAGTAACATAGACTTAGAAGGAGTACTATCTGAAAATAAGATACCAGCTTATAGCCTTGACTGTACAGACTTTGCAGTTTCTCAGGAATGGAGGGATACATAAGGGACCATGCATGTGCCCCTACACTGAAAAGAAGGAAATATAGAACATTATGACACATTACAATGTTTCTTATTTTCCTTGAAAGACATGGTTCATGCAGAACAGTAGCACCATTAAATATTAAATATCTCAACAAGGATAAACAAAAAGTATAGCGTTCATAGTTACTAAATTAAAAAAGCTTTGTTGGATTGCTTTTCTGCGAGAATGTAATCACTTGAGATAGACAGCCTATAGGTCCAGAAATCATAAATAGCCTAGGTTGGAAACAGAGAAGACAGTAAAATTCTTTACCAAGAGCTTCTTACATTTTCACAGATGTTTTTGCTAGGCATCCATCGAAGTCAAATGCAGCTATTTTCTCTGAATCATTAAGACCATCATCCTGTTAAAATGTAACAAAGGAATATACAATAAGGCCATAATACATTACCATATTCTCAAGAAGTGACATCATATCTGAAGAAATTTCTCACCCGCTCAAGGAATATAACTGTCTCGAAAGCTTTCCATTTTGGTAATAGATTGGCATCCTGAGAAACAAGTAGGTTAGCATCCAGAAAGATAAAAAAAAAAAACTGGAAACAGACTACAAATGCCAAAGTTACAAACTGCCAAGAAGAACATTCAGCACATGAGCAGATGGCTTTAACCTAATTGACACTATAAGTGCCTACCCTGTACTTATCCTTCACATCAGAAGCTGAAAGAGACATTTCTGCTTCAACCTCGACCTGAGAAGTTGACTCACTGATGTTCCTCTGTATGACACAATATTTCAAAATCATTGAGGAGAAAATCTACACAAGGAAGAGAGCGGCTACCTTTAGCAGCTATTCAGTACAAATCATTGCTCGTGTACCTTATGTTTTCTAGACGTGTGTTGGTTTGCTTTAGTTGGCGATTCATCTTCTTCCACCATCTTTACAACCTTTATAAGAAACAATAAATTACAGGTCAAGGAATATTCCAGTTTAACAAAATTATAATAAAAGAAGTGAGTGTTGCTATCTATTAACCTCGGAATGTTTTCTTTTGTTCGTCTCTTCAGTTAGCCTATTACTATCAGCTTCAGATTCATCATTATCTTCATCCATCTTCTGAAAACCCACCACGAAATGAAGTAAGAAGTTAGCTTGGAGAACCCTACAATGTTAAATTTCTCTACATTTTCTGAAACGGACTATAATACTTATTTTCTGGTTAAGACATGAAAACACTAAAACATTCAAAGAAAAACAAAATCTTATGAAAAAGGGTTTGGCTAGTACATCTACCAAAGTCTTCTTCCCGCATTGTTGGACCAATTCCTTTAATGCATCCTGATCACCACTCTGTTTATAATTACAAACAAATCAAGTTAAAGATGTGTCAGCATAAATAAGGTACACGTTTGGGTGTTAATTCAGCTGGCAAATGACAGTGTCATTCCGTTGTGACAATACTTTTAATACATATACCAACATATATATTCCAAATAGCATTATCAGTTTCGTTTTATAATCCTAGTTGCCAGACGATAAATGTAATCATCCAGAAGCTCTATCCAATGAACTAGAAATTCCTAATCTTTAAATGCAGACTAACCTGCAGTTCTGAGAATCCACCAATGTCCTCTATAGAACCAATAGGATCTGAGTCGACAGGAAAACAACCCAAGTGATGCCATTGTGTCATATCAAAGCCCCGGAAGTTTCTGGTCACTAGCCCTAACCTCAGTTCCTTTGCAGCGATAGTCTGAGAGCATTTCTTGCATGTTGATCTGCTCGATTTTGCATACTCAGCAGAAACCTTTGAAGAATCAGGAGATCCTGTCGTCTCCGTAATCTTCTGCCCAATTGTTGCATCTGATGTAGACTTCTTAATCTCTTCATCCTCATCAAGCTGCTTAATTTTAAGCGATACAAGCAGTTACCAAAAGTACTTTCTACATGAGAAAATAAGACAGACGTATGCGTATCATTTTTCCACTCAAAAAAGAAGACTGTCGGCTTCCAGAACTTACTTCTTTTGCAGGCTCGCCACATTGTTCCGCCAATTTTGCAATCGGAGAGTGTTTTCCTTCGTTTGTCTCGTCTGTGAGCACATTATCAGCTACAGATTCAGCATTAACTTCATCCATCTTCGGTAACTCCTGCTAGAAAATGAAGTAAGAAAGTCAGTTTTGAAGAAGCCTGAAATGATAAAGGTGTCTACATTTGCTAAAACAGATAACTCTTTTCCAGTTAAGAAATGATTTATTTTCAAAGAAAATTAATGCTGTCATATAAGATCAAAAATTTAAAAAAAAAGGAAATATTATGACAAAATATTATGACAAAAGGTAATTTGCTAGTACATCTTTGAAAGTCTCCTTCCTGCATAGTTCGGCCAATCCCTTTATTGCATCCTGATCATCACGCTGTTTAGAGTAACAAATGAATCAAAAATAAAAGATATGTCAGCACAAGTAAGGATTTGGGTGTTTATTCAACATGACATTGACAACCATGTTAAAGCCATTGGTAGATTTGATGAAGCAATGTGGCAATAGGGACTAACCTCAAGTGAAGAGTATCCACCAACGTCATCCACGGAAAGAATAGGATTCCAATCGCAGGGATAACAATCCAAGTGATGCCAGCTTGTCCTATCAAATCCCCTGGGGTCTTTAGTCACCAGCCCCAACCTCAGATCCTTTGAAACGATTGTCTGAGAACACCTCGTGCATGATGATCTGCTTGATTTCGCATACTCAGCAATAATTTTGGCATTGTTCTCTTTAAACCTCTTCGGCCCCATTTTAACCGTCACCTTCTTGTCATCTTGCTTCTTCAAAATTAAACCAATACAAGCAGTTTAAGAACGAGTAGTTAAATTCACAACTACCAGATACTTAGCTAATGAGAGTAAACAACGTCACTTCCAGATACGTACTGTTTTTGCAGCTTCTTCACCACACTGTTCCACCATTTTCGTCAAAGCATCCTGATCATCTTTCTGTGGACCATAAAAAGAAGAAGCATTAAACACAAATAACCCAAAACACTAGAGAGTCCAAATGCTAGAATAAGAAGCTGAGGAAACCCTAACCTCTAAAGCAGATAAACCCTGAATATCATCAATGGAAGCAATCGACTCGGAACCAGTCGGAAAACAATCGAAATGGTGCCATCTGGTCATATCAACCCCGCCAGGTCCTTTGCTAATCAACCCTAACCTAAGCGATTTAACAGCTATCTTCTCCGAACATGCCTTACACGACGATCGATTCGACTTCGCGTACTCAGCTACGACAGGCATTGTCTTCTTCGCTGGTGTTCTTCTCCAAATGTGACTGCGGTTGTAGAGATACTGTGGTTGTTCTCGGGAAAAGAGAGTGGAACGATTGATTATAAGAAGAGTGGAGAAACGAAGAGACACGAAAGGGGCTACAATAATCATATAGCCATGGGTGGATTTCGAGACAGAAAAGTGTGATTATTAGGGTTCTCTACGCGTTCCCGCCATTCTGGTCGGTAAATTGATGTCGGCCTTAAAAGCTTAATTAATTAATGTAAATTACTCTCGAGCCGACGAACCTCGGTGTCTCTTCTTTTCCTCTGTTTATTGGGTCAATTTGTTGGTTTCTTTGGGCTTTCAAAGGCCCAGAACAAATCACGAGAATGGCTGCCCTGAGAAGACAGCAAAGACTTATGTAAGACGAAAATTGCCAAGTCATCATCATCATCATTGTTGTGTTTAATTAAAGAGTATAGACTTTTTTTTGAGGAAGCATCTTAAAAACCAAAGCAAACAAAATGTTTGGAATCGACGCCGTGGTAGGAGGACGCGTACCATACCAAGTGTCCTCATGCATGTCTTCAAGAGACATGACCATGCCACGTTCACTTCATGTCTTATTTGGTAGCTGACTTTTATTTTCTGTCTATCCACTTGGACTACAGAAACAAACAACTACCCATGTCCCCGATTATCTGTCTTTTTTTTTCTTATCAACAAAATAACAAAAGCCCCAATCAGGTCTCTGCTAATGATCTCATAAAAATAAGTTGAAACACACTCGGTGACTCAGAAATCCAACTGAAAAAGGTAAACTAACAAGCACTCACATAAGTTGATCTTTATTGCAACCGGACAGACATAATATATATTTCATAACCATGTAAAAACCAAACTCTCACGTACAGTTTGAGTGGATAACCAAAACATGGTAAAAAACATATAATTAATATCAAAAGAAAACTATAACTTTTTTTTTCCTCTCAATTCCCATTACTTTTTTTAAAGTACCGTTTTTAATTAGCTTTCAAACGTTGGAACTTCGACGACGGTCGTGGCTAGTCCCCCAGCCAGCAACGCCCATACGAAGCTCAGCAGCAGCGATAAGAAACTCCGCTTGTTGGAGCGGACTAAGGAGTTCCACCACGCGTGTGATCGTTCTCATCCGTAGATCATCGGTTTGGTGAACGATTTCTGCTAGACGTCGGATCCTCTGGTCGGAGTCGGATGATGTTCCCATGACGAGTTCGCTCGCATCGTCTTGCCACTCCGATAACTCTTCCGTTATCGCGTTCTCTTCCTTCACCGTCTCACATTGTATCTCACTCACCGTCCTGCCTTTGACAAATTTAATCCTAATATTAAATTTTTAAATTATCAAAATATATTTAGTTAGTCCATATGCGTATATATTTAGTTAGTCCATTGGAAAAGGAAAAAAAAAAACTAAATAACAAACTAAGCTACTTAATATTTTTTTGGAAAAACTCTTTCAATACCAAAAATAGCCAATATGTATCTTTATCATCTTTTTTTTTGGGCAAAATATCTTTATCATCTATGAACAAAATGTGTCTTACTCTCTCAAATCCCTCAGTGTTTATAACATTTTGTACATTTAAAAAAAAAAAAAAACTTGTATGCTCCAAATGAGTCTCTTATAATTAACTATATAGCCGTATACATTAGAACATGTATTGGTGGTTACTAAACAGTCTATATATAGCACGAGAATCACGATAATACTTGAATCATATTACACCTTTAATTTGGACATAAACTAGATACAAAAGTTACTGGAGAGTCCGAGGTGTGATTATTTAGTAAACAAAGTAGCTAATTAGAGTTTCATGTATAACCTGAACTGAGAAGGAGAGAGATCGCTAAGATCACCGGTACGAAAGCCACGAAGTATATCAACGATACGAGACTCGAACAAAATACTGGACTCAGTATAAACCAGATGAAACAAGGTGGTTGGTCGCCAACCACCGACCCAATGGAGCGAGCGTTCAAGAGCGGAAGACCAAGGAGCAGCCATAACACCAATCACGTCTTTCTCCGTCGTCGCCCACTTCGCCCTGTGGTACGCTCTAAAGTGTTCCATCACACTCTCAACCGCTTCCCTCAGCCGTTCCTCGTCGCCGGTAGCAGAGTTCCGGTGGTGATTTTGGGCAGACCGGAGGTGGTTCAGGTGATGTCGTAGCGCCTCGATCCATGACTCTTGGAATTTCTTGAAGTTCGCAATCGCTGTCTCTTGGCTCATTTTATATGTTGGGTCCTCCGTAGTGTTTGGGATGCTCGTCGAACCAAATTTATATATTGTCTATAGTATTTGCTTTTATATTAGTATCTTTTCTCACCGACTTTGCTATTGTATCAACAACCGATCCCATTTTATTTTTTCAAACATTTGTCTTTCTTCTAAAATTTTAGAAATGCATATATAATTTATTGTCCGGTCATAGATAAAGTAATGTTTTATCGCTTTGTAAAATTAATGTTTCAATATCTATTTTCTTCTCTCTCTCTTTTGCGCCAAAATTTTGCGAGAACTATATTTCAGTTGACGATATATTGCAACAGTCGCTGCTTCGTAAATACGAAAAAGCTAACTGCTCATTTTGTTAATGATACCTGAAGACCTAAACGGCTGAACCTGAACCCATCAATTCCCATAGTGATATTGTACCGAAACAGTGTTCTAAGTAAAGACTGATCGTAATGTATCAATTGGTTCGAGACTCAAAGGCAAAACAAAACCAAGTCAATCCCACCGATCCTGGAATTTTATATATATATAAAAGATCCATGGATAGGACTGTTATTGGGCCCAAAAGATCTACCAAAATTTAATGGACCCATCAGAGTAAATGATCTGATACATACTTTGGTCGGTCGTCAAAAATCAAAATACATTAAATATATTATAAAGCAGAGGGATTGGTCTCAAAAAGTCAAATTTCATGAAGAGAAACAAAAAAAGAAGGGTTAAAAGTCCTATGATTAAAATCACTTTTTAGAATATCTACATTCCACTCATACAAATAATAATTTACTTTATTCATATGATACATTCCTTTTTAGTTCACTAATTGATATCATTTTATATTGAAATACAACAATGATAATTCAATATTTTTATGTAAATTATAACGAATTATTTACATATGATAGAGAAGGTGTAGTGAGTGAGTGACGATCATGTAATAATAATAATAATTCGATGGAAAACAGCTAAGAGATGCTTCTGTCTTCTCTGCTCTAATATTGACAAAGGAAAAAATAAAAACCATTAACATAAAAAAATCTCAACAAAGCACATTTACATACTTTGCCTCTTCCCTTAATCCAACGGTCAGTAATTTTTTGTTCTCCTCATTTATTTTTTCCTACCCCTTCTAAAGAAAAAAGGTTCCCCACCACCTAAATTACTCTAATACCCTTGTGACATCATTGCCGGGATTTTATCTGATCGGACGGCGTTGACGTGAATGTGAGAGATAGACCTCACACTGTATCGACGTTTTACCAATTCTAAACCCGGGAACCACCGTAAACGCAACTCCCGGCTCAGTTTCCGACGACAGAAACGCTTCTTCCGCCACGCTCTTCATGTACACTTCTGAGAATCTACACCCTTTGGGTACTTGAAAGATCGAAGCTTCAGGGTCGAAGGAGAAAGCGAGGCAATGTAAAAGCCAAACCCTTTTCGCCATTTCGACGAACGCAGTGTATAAGCTAGTCTCCGGGAACTCACCTGCGGTAACTTGGTTTCTTAGATGCAAATGTCCGAAGAACGCTTCCTCCATTTTGGGATGTATGAGCTGCAGATACTTGCCTCTGCAAAATCTAGCAAATCTTGATTTAGGTCGTGATGCTAAGTACTCTCTTGGTTTCATCGATCTAAGCTCTGTGAATCTCTCGAAGAACGTTGCTTTGTCTTCTTTGCTCTTCTTCTGCTTCGATGATTCGTTTGAGAAGTAAGCTAGATGAAACGCTTCAAACATTATCTTGCAAACGTAATGCTCGAAAGCGAAACACTTGTGGTCTTGCTTGTAATAGAATACTTCAGGCTGTATTGATTCAGCTGCCATGTCGATGTCCCAATCTGCGAGTTTCATCTGCTCCACCATCAATTTGACGAATCCTCGGATAGATTTGACAGTGTGGTGCAGATAAGTAACGAAATGGGTCGGATTTAGCGCCGAGAGATGAAGATTATGATCCAGAGGATTGCAAAGTTGGCCGCTTTGGTTTAGTCTCTTCTCCATCAACTTGTTCTGACTCACTGCTTCTTCAAACTTTTCTTTAAGAAATATGATCTCAGAGTCTTTAAGCTTTAACTGACACTCAAGCTTCTTCCCCATGATCTCATAAGTCTTTAGCAGGCTTCTCAATTCTTGAATCTCTGCAAGAACAAGAGTTCTATCAGGATTTGGATCGAGCTGGTTCTTCAAGAAGCTCTGTTTCAGCTCTGACAATGTCTTCAACTCTGCTACTACCAAGTTGTCTGATTTCTGAATCCCATTTGGATCATACGGAGACTGAGCATACTGCAACTGCGCATAACCAGATTTTATGGAAGAGATCGTAGCAAAGACCTTTGCGAGAAGTGCTTCCAAGGAAAGCCTTTTCTCATACTCTTCTTCCAGCTTGTCAAAGGACTCAGACAGATTTGCGGCATTCTTCACTAAATCTTTATCCAACTTTACATTTTCTTGGCTCTTCTTCACTCTCTCAACCTTGTTGTCTTCTGGAACAACACCGGTTAGCTTCTTAATGTTGATAACCTTGGCAAATGTGCGTCTGAGTTTTCCTTTTCCTGAAGCAACATCCATTGGTTTCACAGACTCCATCTGCAGATTCATCACAAATGCTTTTTTAGTAAGGTGACTAATAAAAGTGAAGAAGGGGGTTGAACGAGTCTTGTAACATTGTCTATATCGAACAAAAAGAGAAAAGCAAAAGCAAATTCAGATCTAGGACCATTAATAGAGCTTCACTTTATAGACTTCTTTAGTTAACAACAACCAGAAAAAGATGAAGAGCAGAGAAGAAGCTTGAAGAGATTGTTTCACTAATATTTCACACTACACTTTTGGCCACAAAGGAGAGAGAGAGATAGAGAGGTATGCAATAAATATATATGCAGAGGGAGAGATAGAGAGAGATGCATGCCTAGATTATCAAGTGGATACAGCTTAAAGATTCATCCAGAGTTGTGGGGACAATGTGGTTCATATACAAATGAAAATGTTTTTTATTTGTAAGGAATAAACAATTAAGAAATGTCCAAGGAAGAAGAATAAACAACTTGCGTGTGTAGTACCATTTCTTTTCAAGAACCGATCTACTTTACTTTTTTTCTTATCAAATGTTCTAAAATCTTTTGCCATATATGTGTGGGGCTATTTAGTCAAATTGTGCTGCTATAGAATCAAACAAAAGTGAGAAAAAAACATATAATATAATACACACCCAAATGGGTTATCTCATTTCTGCAGAACACATGACACATGCAAATAATTCAACACCCCTCGTTCTCATTTCTGATTCACTTTTCTCTGAAAGGGAACAGTCAAGAAAAAAGTGCAAAAGTGAATACAAAAAGAACTAATGAGTTTTAAATACATAGAGATACCCAAAGCTTCTCATAAGTTGTCAATTATGGGATACTGAGAAGAGCATTAGAGGTTAGAGTATTCAGGATTCATAATTGCTACAAACAACCAAATCAGTTAAACTAGAATCCAAAGGAAAAAAAAAGTGCCCCCACACACAAACACATGTTTATATTATGTATATGATTCTCTCGAATGGTCATTTGGTTCCACTCATTTGAAAAAAGTAAGACAGCATCAAAGCCTAACATAGCTACCTAACATTTAGTACAGTCACAAGCTACTCACCAAACAGTCTTATATTCTCGATTTCACTAAGGTTTAGACCCTAAACACACTCAAACCCAAGGAGAATTAGTCAGTTATCATGAAATCTGAAAATAGAGTCAAGGAACATCTAGCAACCAGTGAACCCCAGAGAGGGTTTTAACCAAAACGGTACTCGAAGTTTCATACAAGTTTAGAAAGAAACTTGTTCAAAACGAACTATAAATTTTAAAAGATTGTGATGTACCTTCCAAAAGTTCCAAGGTTACTATCCCTCTGTCTCTCTCAGTATGTTTCTATGTTCTGTTTTGCTGTTCTCACTTCATTGTAGAGTGAATCTGAAGAAACCAACTGGCGAAATGACACACCAACCTCTGCTTAAACCCTGCAGATCAAAATCATCAAATCAATCATATAATATTTCAAATCATTACCTCGTACCTACCATAGGAAGATTAAAAAAAGAAGAAGATAAGAAACAGAGAAACGATAAACAGAATGATATGCAAGCTGATGTGAATGTTTAGCCATGGCATTATTACTATGAATGATTATATGATTGTACGCCTTCACAAGTCACAATGATATATTCACTGATTGAAAATAAGATTATAAACAACTACGCAACAATAATGGAAACGAAATCATTCAGAAGAAACAAAAAGATGATAAGTAATAGGTTGAAGTTCAAAAATGTTGATTAACAAACCTGATCGCTAAAGAAAACACTCTCTGTGTGTTGCTTCCTAAACTGTCTTTTGACGACAATAATAAGATGGGGTAAACAAAAAAGAAAGATACAGATTCCTTCACGGTTTCAAGACAAACCCGGAGCTCGAGAATGAGAAAAAGAAGGAGAGAGGAAAAAAGTGAAAAAGAGAAAGCTTTAGAATGAGAAAGAGTCGTAGGAGGAGATGAAGAGAAGTAATAAATGACAGAGGGAGAGGACGGCGAGCCTAGGGAAGTTCAAAGGAATTTTGTTTACCTAAAATACCCTCGTGGTCAAGAGATAATTACACCGACATTGCTACTTTACTCAACAGAAGCGTCGAAAAGGAAGAAAGGGTGTTTTCGGTATATTATAGGAATAAAAATGCTACAAAGCGTAATCAATCAGACAGAACACACAAATAAAAATCACACGGTTTGGGAGGAAGTGAAACTACTTGGAAGCTGTTTTGTTACGTACGTACGCGAAGACCGGTCCGTTCAGTATGAGTTTGGTCGATGAACGACGCGTGGCAATAAAAAAATCTGTGTAACCATTTCCCCCACATTCTACTGAAAAAAACGCTTTCTTAGTTATTGGACTATTTATTTGTATTTAGTTGCGTTGATGTTTGATTGTTTAATTAAATAAACGAGAATTTGTAAGTTCATTCTCTAATTCTTTTTCTTTTCTTTTTGATAAACCTCTTAAATTATTTGTCAAGTTGTATAAAAAAGACAGCTGAATAGCAGTATTGCCTGAACAAGTACAGTTGTCTTATCGATGAAAGCAAATTAACTATTAAGGATGCAAATTGCGAAGTCCAATCTTATTAACTAAACTAAAGTCTTGCAATTGGTGGGTCGGTATATAATAGAATCCCTGAGTAAAGAACATCATAATTCTACTTGTTACGTTTATGCGTTATCAATTCAATATGGCATTATGAATGTAGTAAACTTTTATCAGTTAGTATAAAAAATGTGCTAAATTGTCCGTGTTTAGCGGAAAGAAGAAAAGCAGAGACAATCGGATTCTCTATTTCAAAACCAAAATTGAGAGCTATGAAGGACTCTAGTATTCACATAAGGAAAGGAGATATGCATATATATGATTTATTTACCTTATATTCTGTAACAGAGTAAAAAACTAGAGTAAGATAAGATGTGATTGGACATATCGAAGAAGTGCTTCTGATCCGATCAGCTTTTCTTTTTCTTTTTCCTTTTCCTAATAATTTTGTCTTTTCTTCAAGACTTGTAGTAGTGGGGTAAAAAAGCGCACACTCTCTACTCAATAACGGGCGCATCGACGGTAAGAACCTTAATAGGCTCATTAATGGGCTTTCTATACGGCCCAGATGTAGATATGGGTTCAGAAATGAGCATTATCCCAAAACACGAGTAACCACCACCACACTAACCAATAAGGTAATTTACAACTTCATAAATTCCCATTTTTTTTTATTTTTTTTTATTTAAATGACCTCAACTTTCAGGAAAACTCTTTTACTGAATGAAAACTGAAGTCATCTGCAAATTGGTTTCATTCTCTATCAGTTGTTGTTGTTGTTTGTGGTTGTGTTGGAATATGTGAATCGGCTCTCTAGGGTTCGATTCGAACATAAATTTGTACTTGGAAGAAAGAGAGATGGGGGAATCTCAGATTCTACTCGCTCACAGCTTTACTACCTGGTCTTGTAAGACTCTCTTCACTTTATGGATCGTCTTTACTCTTCACAGCTTTCCATTTCAAGCTCAAGCTGCTCCTGCTGGTAAAATTACCATACTTCAACTTAGCCATATCTTTATTATTACCAGTGGATTTGGTTGCTTTGATCTATCTCCTACTTGCTGTTCTCACTTTCTTAGTGATTTCACTGTTATATTTCTGGGTTGGTTGTTAATGTCAATTGTTGTGACATTGAATCCAGGTTCGTTGATTAAGCACATGTCATGGGTTCTAAAGTGGACTACTGGATCATCCTCTAAGATATCTCAATCAGGTAAAGTGGCTCAATTTGGTATCCGTCTGGGGATTTAAACTGCAGACTCAAGGATTCATAACCTCTGGTTTAAAATTTGAGTTTCTCCATCTGCTTCATGTGGTTGCAGATACTAATGTTCTTGAATTTGAGAATGGTTACTTGGTCGAAACTGTTGTGGAAGGAAATGAAATTGGTGTTGTTCCTTACAAGATTCGTGTTTCCGATGATGGAGAACTTTATGCTGTTGATGAAGTTAATAGCAACATCATGAAGATCACTCCTCCCTTGTCCCAGTGTAAATTTTTCCTACTTTACCTCTATTTCTTTGATTTTTTACTTTGTGCCTTATGCAGTTCAGTGTTTGCACTTGATAATTATTATGTTTTACTAATATGATTTTCGAATGCTCTTGAGCTTGTGTCATTACATTTTGTATTTTTGCCTCATATGTAACATTTGATTTTCACATATCTCTTAGTGCTGGAGATTTTTATGACTTTGTTTATAATCTGTGTGCTTGTGGGCAGACAGCAGGGGAAGATTGGTGGCTGGATCGTTTCAAGGAAAGACGGGGCATGCAGATGGAAAACCTAGTGACGCTCGTTTTAACCATCCGAGAGGAGTAACAATGGATGACAAAGGGAATGTTTATGTCGCTGATACTTTGAATCTCGCTATCCGAAAGATTGGAGATTCAGGTATAAAACAAGTTTTCTACATAAGTTTTTGCATATATCAGAACTTAAACTGGATGAGATTGTTGGTTGCTTGTGGTTGAAAAAGAAAAATCAAACTGAGAAGAATTCTGTTCTTAAGAGCCTGGAACATTTTTTGCAGGTGTTACTACAATAGCTGGAGGGAAATCAAATATAGCTGGCTACAGAGATGGTCCAAGTGAGGATGCAAAGTTCTCAAATGATTTTGATATCGTATATGTTCGGCCTACCTGCTCGTTGCTGGTCATTGACCGAGGAAATGCAGCTCTTCGCCAAATCTCTCTCAGCGAAGAGGACTGTCACTATCAAGATGATAGCTCAATCTCTCCAACTGGTAAGAAGTCATAAACATCTCTTCCCATCGTGAACTACATAAATCAATTTGCATATAGAGTGTTAACCAAAGATCATTGCGCACTTATGTGTGATTTTTTCTTTTTCGTTCTTGTGCAGATATCCTCTTGGTTATTGGTGCTGTTGTCATTGGTTATGCTACTTGTTTGCTCCAACAGGGTTTTGGAAATTCTTTCTTCTCAAAGACGGTAGATTTCTATTCTTCTCTTTAGCCCTTTTTCACTTCTCCTTAACCATATGCTACAAACAATAAAGGTTTTTGTTTTATATTACAGCAGCTAGAAACAGAAACCAGCTTTGAGGAGGAGCATCCAGGCAAAGAGAAATTCTCCCGACCTGTCCTTGAGACAACAGCAACCAAGGAAGAACCTGGTTGGCCATCATTTGGGCAACTCCTTATTGATCTCTGCAAACTCGCTCTTGAGTTTATAACCAGCCACCTAGTTCCAACCCGATTCAAAACCAGCCCCAATCTAAGGCCATTAAAAGATAGACTCAAAATGCCTGAGGACGAACAAGAACCACCTAGAGTCCAAATGCATACTGCCCCAGCACCAGTCTCTGAATCCCGGCATGCCCACTTGCCTAAAGCGAATGATTACCCGGAACATAAGACCTCTAAGCTAAGATCAAGTAGTGTAATGAAGGACCCTACTTTGTCATCATCCAAGCACCACAGGTCATCATCAAAACGGCAAGACTATGCTCAGTTCTATGCCTCGGGAGAGGTTCCCCAACCGAAGGTCCATAAAGAGCGATCGAGGCGTCGCCATAGAGATAAAACAACAGAAACAGAACCAAAACCAACACCATCGGATGCGGTGAAGCCTGTAGAGTACAGCAATAATAGTTCAAAGTTTGATCATTTCAACATGAGGAGTAGTAAGTATGGTCCCGAAACTCCATTTCGATTCTAGGAAGCCAACTCAGATCCTCATCAGAACCCTTTTCTGAGTATGTTGTGTCCTTGCTTTGGGGATTCATTATGTTTTCTTTTTGATAGTTGCTAAGAAAATCTTATTACACAGATGAAGGAAAAGAGGTTAAAAAGTCTTGTAATGCCTTGTAACGAAGAATCGATGATTTATTACTGCAACTCTGACGATTAAAGTTAAAAACTTGTTACAAGCTCATAGATACTGCAAGCATATTTTACATGAATGAGATTTTTGCTACCACAAGTGCTTGAATTTATATACCATGGAAAGAAAGGACTACTGTGTGAGATATATAGTCAAACGCAAAATGGGTTCGTTGCTTGATAATACCTCGTTTGGCTGATAGAGGTACGTTCCTTGTCATGTCTCTACGTTGCTGCAGTCAAAATCCCAAAACAGGAAGAGGAGGGACAAAACTATCGATAATGTTTCTAAAATGAACAAAACATACAAAGGGCCCTACCGGGTTCGAACCGGTGACCTCTTGATCTGCAGTCAAATGCTCTACCACTGAGCTAAGGACCCTTTTGTTAGTGTACCCGAGGAAGTATTTATTCTTTTTAGAATTTCACCGGAAAAAAATTGGGAAAAAAGAGAGTAAAACCTCCATGTTTGCTTGGGATCAAGTTAAAGAGAGTCTGGTTTACAAGTGTGATCTAAAATCGAATTTGATAGAAATATGTTTTCGTTCAGGTCCATTGAAACTTTTATAATTGGATATGTACCTTGGTCACAGAGTATCCTTCGACTGAAAATCCCGACCTTACTGAATGAATTAGCAATATAAGTTTTAATCTATACAGTTTTACATTGTGTTCATTTAACACTACAGTGGTTTAAGGTTTAAGATTATTTCTTTTGCTTGACAATTCGATTTATTGAATTCTACGTAAGCTATAAATATGATGAGAAAAATCAGAAAATCGGACACTTTTATTTAGATTCAAATTGAATCAAACACAATAACAAATGCTATAATTTTGGTTTCTTGTGTGTTTAAATAATTTTGTGTGTTTTCTACTCAGCCATATAATTGTAAAGAATCTCATTCCAAGTATCAGGTACCCCAGAGAGACACCAGTGGCTGCAGTCACCGGAATTTTGGCCGCCTAGACCGTAAATCGAAGGATGACCATCTTTGCGGAGCAGCGAAAGCAACGTAATGTCTAGCAATGTAACCGGTTTGGATATTTTCCCAAGTGCTCTCTTCAAAACTCCCACTTCTGCTGGCAACCCTCCTGGATAATTTGTCCCCAAAAGTGGTTCCTTCTGACCCACGCAACTCTTTGCAGCTGGTTCACCCCATGAAGCTCCTCTGACAAACAAACAAGATCAGCGTTTTTAGATTTTAAAAGTTACAGATGTAGATTGTCTTGAATCAAATGCATGACAACTTACTTGTAATGAGACGGTGAAATTCCTTGGAAAAAGACTCTAGTTTTCTTAGTATCTAGGACGGTATCGACCCATTTCCCCCAAGTCCCAAGCGCAATTTCGAATGCGGCCACACGGTTCATGTCTTTTGTTACGTTATTCCCTACTTGTATCCAGTCCCATCTGCCAAATTAGACAAAACAAGATCCAAACTTTGAACATTTGCATGTAATTAAGTAAAAGAGATAAGCATATTAATTAAAGAGTTAATTGAACATACGGTTGTGAAGGACCTCTCCGGCTCCACCAATGCCAAGTATTAAATATCAATGTATCCATTCCTAACCAATTTTTTCCATCATTGATAGAATCGAGCTTCAGAACTCTCCCAATCTTCTCCCTCACTGTATCTACTAAATACACATTCCTATCTAGCTTCAATTCCAATCCATACTCCTGCAGTTTCACCACTCCACCGGTTTAGGTCATCCTGATTTTTCTTGACGTTATACTTAAAACTGAAACAAGTACTGTAGAAATTGGTTTTGTATTATTTACCTGGAATGTGAAGGTTGAGATACTGCCTCGTGTGGTTAAAGTGTACGAGGAATTAGGAACAGAAGAGTGAAGCATACATGTCAAAGATTGCCACTGGTTTAGACTGAGAGAATCACCAACAAACATGATCTTCTTCCCTTTGTTTCTCTCCAAAAACTCCACTCCGTTGAACCTAAACACACAAAACAGAAGGAGAAAAAACGGCGGCGTTTTATGTCGGTGGCATCAATTGGTAATTAACGGAACAGAGACAAGGACAAAACCGTAAAGAGTTTGAGTTAGTGTCCCCACGAGTGTGGGGGAATTTATGTCTTCATATGAAGGAGAGAGTTTGGTGGGTGTCACATTCTCACTGGCGGCGCGTGGCACTCACCTCGGAATCACCAGTTGGCATAATGTATATACAGTATTTTGGTGACAAAAGAAGAGAGACTTCGTTTTCATCTTCGTGCAGTTTTTATTTTTATTTTTGAAGAGATTCCAAAACACCATTCAATTATGGCAAAACAACTATATAAATAGCATTCTCTTTTATCATTGGTTGCTTCACTCAAAAGTGCTTTAATTTTACGAAAAAGTTATACTAAACACTCACAAATGTCTCTGTAATATATGTGAACCAAATCAAGGTTTCTTTACATCACACCACGGATATTGTGTTTATTTTTGATATCAACAAAATGTGCACCCAATAATTAACGCTAGTTGTTAATTATGTCACATTTCATCACATAAAAACACCTACGAATAATAATTAAAATAATATCTAGAATCAAAAGTAAGCAATTTACTGGATGTGCGTCGATTTATATCCCTTGGTTTATACTATAATCTAAAACGATACCTTGATTCAATATCTAGAAACCAAATAATAATAAATCTAAAAGATGTAAAAATAAGAAATCTATATGTAATGATATTTGTGTACCTAGCTAATTTGCAGGACAGAGGCTGCCATCTGAAGGTGGAGAAATCGAGATCTGGCCGTCCATTTCTCTGGCAAGCGAACTCGCGTCTTATGAACGGACACGTGGAGGAATCGTAGAGAGGGTAAGAAGCGTCCTTCACCCATCTCCCTGTGAACATGTCGCATCCCTCTGCTTCGTGGTCGTGTAGCAGAAGAAGAAGAAGAAGAAGCGATAGAACTAACGCAGAGCCATAAGAAATGGCGTTATCTCTTGAACTCATTCTTAAGTTTCTTCTTCTAACACAGAGGAGATGAGACGAGAGGAGAGAGATAGATTCAAATACGCTTCTTGTTTTTATACACCCACGCCTCTATATATTTTTATGTATATATATATTCGTCACTCTATTATCAAAAAGAGGAAAAATCATAATAATCTTTATCCTTGTTTTTTGTAAGTCAAATTCGTGAACTTATAATGCCATATATAGTTTTTGATTTTGGAACTTTATTGAAACAAAATCTCAACATTTCTTTGTTTGCATTTAAGTATTCATTGACACGTACGTAATTTACTAACTATGATTTTGAAATCCAAGTAATTTTCAGTTACATGGTCAAGATATTTATTTCTACCATATATATAAAATCACCTTTCGAGATTCTTTTTTGTCATCTTCTAAAATTGCCATAATATCGGTTACAAGTTTTTTGATATTTATTAATTCCTTCCTACCATATTTACTTCGAGAGATCATGCTTAAAAATTTTGTTTTCCTCAATTAAAAATCGATTTGTTCGGACCATCAATATTCTGTGAAGAGTTTTCTTTTTGTTTTGTCTATTTAAAAGGATTTTCTCAGTTGCCGGTGCTACCCCCGTGAAAAAATACTTGTGGACCTATAAAATTGGTATTTTAAGGGAATCATATTCATAATTTAGTTTAATTGTAGACTTTGTAGTCTTGTATAGAAAATTTTGTAAACGACAATATATTAGATTAGATCCTATTAAAAGTAATACAAGCCAAATCATTTGTCCTTAGAGAAACAGATGTTAACAGACCAACAATTTATTCGGTCGTTCTTATTTAAATAATTGTTCTTGTTAGCTTAAGCCAAATAATTCTTATTAAATGTATCATGAAAACGTTTTAAATAAATAATAAGATGGTTGACTAAGACAATCGTGTTAAGGGCATTAATCAAATACAATAATAATGCCATCATCGGTGCAACTAATAATATTTTTAACAATAATTTGAGATTTGTACAATTAGATAAATACACTACCACCTAAGTTTATGAAGTTTATAAATAAACAAAGTTCTAAATCTACAGAGCCATATTTTTGCAATTACAATTCTAGTACTAGATAGGACACAGTATGTAGTACGACGTACTAGAAATAAGCCTAGTGAAGTTTATTTTTAATTTTGAATGGAATCTTTAAAACCCATAGTATCGATTTTGTTTAACAAAGTAAAAGCCAAACCCATACGTCAAATAAATAGATAAATGGTAACAGAACAACAATACTTGTCTTGCTTGACTCAGCATTATTATCTCATCTAAATTGGTCTTTAGGACCTTTTGATTCTTCCTCTTAAGATAAATATAAATAGCCTCATTTTCTGTTTCATGTAACGTAATCTTCTAAATGTCTTAAAGAAATTAATAATCATGAAAATGAAACTTTACAAAAAGCGATAATACAAAACGTCATAACAACTTACTCCATATTTTTCCTTTTTTTTTTTTTTTCGGGGAAAAACAGTGTTCTGGTGTATCCATGACTTACGTTCTGGTGTTCCAGTAAGCAGAATCAAGCTTCACAGGGTAAAGATCGCTTGCGTTGGCGGTTGACGTAGAAGACGAAGTGAAAGGTCCGTCGGTGGTTGTCGTGTTCGTTATCTCCTCCTCACCTATCATGGCGTAATGCCTCTTCATCGCTCTCACGCTCTCTTCGTCCTTGTCACTTCCTTTGTTGAACGAAGCTTCAAGCAGCTTCCCTACATTCACCGTTGAATGGCCTTCGAGCATACTCACTACCGTCGACATCGAAGGTCTATCAGCGGGAGCTGGACTAGTGCAGAGCATCCCTATCTGAATCATCGTCATTGCTTCTTGTTTGTTGTAACTTGTTCCTAGCCTTGGATCCACTACTTCCATAATATTGTCTTGCTCCCTTAGAACGTGCACCTGTGGAAAAGATGAGATACAGATTCACGATCTAGGAACTAGGATACAAGGTTTAGGTTTCAGGGTTTTAGAGGTGAAATGATTATTTACCCAGTCAAGAAGGTAGAAGGTCTCGGCTTTGGATCTTGAGCTCGTGTTGCTCTTTCCGTGAACTATTTCCAGAGCCACAATGCCGAAACTGTAGACGTCGGCTTTATCTGTCAAATGGCCTCTCATGGCGTATTCTGGAGCCATATATCCGCTGCCAAAAAGAGAAGTTTGTTTTGGTTAGAAGACATCTCACAAAGTGAAAATTCTTGTTTGTCATTGATTGACTCACTATGTTCCTGCGACTCGTGTGCTGATGTGCGTGTTTTCTTCTTCATCAAGCTTAGCAAGACCAAAATCCGAGATTTTTGGATTTAGATCCTTGTCAAGCAAGACATTAGTAGCTTTGATGTCTCTGTGTACAATCTTGAGTCTTGATTCCTCGTGGAGATATGCTAATCCTCTCGCTATCCCGACACAAATCTTCTGCCTTGTTGGCCAGTTTAGTTGTATCTGTGTCTCTTGAGGACCTGTAAATTAATAGAAACAAAAACATTGTTGTTGAGGAAAACAAAAACTGGATTGGAGAGAACGTTTATAAGCTCAAAAGGTGTTTTCAAAGGGATGACTAACCAAAGAGAGCTCGCGCAAGACTATTGTTTTCCAAGTACTCGTAAACTAGCAAGAGCTGATCACCTTCGACACAACATCCATATAGTTTAACCAAATGTGGATGCTGCAGAGCCGAAATCATAGCAATCTCATTTAAGAACTCCCGATTCCCTTGTTTTGATTTTGCTGATAGCTGCTTAACCGCGATTACTGTTCCATCAGTCATTATTCCCTGTATTCATTCAGTTGACAAACCTTAAAGATCAAATATCATTCATCTTTCTTTCTCTCATAACAATGCCGTTTTACAATATGATGCTAACCTTGTGTACAGGACCGAAACCACCTTCTCCGATCTTGTTTGCAGGATCAAAGTTATCCGTGGCAACTTTGATTTGCCTTAACGAGAACGAACTGATCTGGAAATCTAAGTTCTTGAAATCTGAGGTGACGAAACACAGTTGAATTTAGAAAGAAACGAAGAGAGACATGACACAAAATGAATTGGAATGATAAAAAACTATTTAAGTACCTTTTTCCATCTGACTCTTAGGTCTTAAGCAGCCTCTCCACCATAATATACCGCCGATTAAAAGCACAAGAAATACGGTCGAAGCGATTACACTACCAACCACTGTACCAACAGAAGTTCCGGTGCCAGGTTGATCCTCCTTTGGTGGGGAAAAATCTAGAGCAAGATCATTGGAGATACAGTCATGAGACAAAAACACTCAAACAAAGGGGAAGCCTCTCGGAGATAGTTTGAGGTTAAGCATAGTTTACCAGCTGGATCTACCGATATAGCCGATATGAGAGGACCATATACACCTCTCACAGGAATAGCTTGAGTTCCTTTCCCAGCCCACTGCAATCTTATTTCCAGTTGCCCATTTGTAATCGAAACAGGAAATTTCTTGACCACAGCTTTTCCCACACCGTTTGCCTCATCAACAATATTGAAATCTTTAGCCACAAGTTTACCCTGCACATTGTCAAACCAGCAAACTGATTCTTCTATACAATCTTTCTGACAATCAAGAAACAAGTTTGATCAAATTACCTGAACGTATATGTCAAAGAATCTTCTTCCCAAATTGCTATACTTGGTTTTTTCATTGAACATAATTTCAGCGAAATGAAGATTAACTGTATAGTTTCCTCTTCCAAGACACAATGCGTAGTATGTGAGGGAGATGGCTGAGAGACGCGCATTTGTATAAAGCCTAGAGTCTATGCTAGAATTTGTTATCTTGAGCTCTGATGAATTCGACCATTTGGTTTTTCCATTGTTAGACCGATCATCATCCAAGAAGTTTCCGGTGTTGCTAAAAACCCACCCGTTGTCACTCTTAAAGTAACCCGGTGTATCCCATGTGTCAGCATCATACTTAGTCTCATTGCTTGTTATTACATCACCACCACAGTTTATATGAAGGCCGTAGAAAGCTGAGAACAAATGATTAGACACCGAAGATAAATCAGATACGCAGTTTTTGACCAAAAGCAAAAAAAAATCAGATACGCACAGATAGGTATTAAGCGATATGGTTTTGTAATGTATATATAGCTTCAAAGACTTACTTTTGGGACAGACATATTTGCTCAGACAGGTAATATTTGAGCTGTAGCAAAACCAAAATTATGTAAATATTCTTGTGAGTGTTATATAGATCCAGAGATTTTAAAAGTTACAACACTTACGAGTTATTTGTCACTAAAGGGACCAAAGGGCTTGTGCTTGAAAACATATTCCTGCAAATAAAAAAAGAGTCTAGAAACCGTAAGCTTTTATTGCGGATTTGAAGGCATGAGAAGGTGAAATGTTAATTTTCTTCTTACACGGATCTTTCTTGACATCCTCTGGTGTTGGAGAAGTTATTGTAAGTAAGATCACTGCAATAAAAGAAAGAATAACCAAAGAAAATGTTAGATCGCCTGTTCTCACAACAAATAAATTGTGTTGTATATTCAGAAAAAAAACTCACATCGTGTCCCCTTTGTCTAACATCCAGCCTGGTACTTCCCCGTCTAACATGTTACTTGTAAAATATCTGAAAGGTCATAAAACGAAATTTTCATTGCTCCATCGAAAACTTATAGCGAAACAGAGGAAAGGAGAGGAGAGCATACATGTAATCTACATCTGAAAGAGCAGCATATTCCTGGGGGATTGGTCCACTCAGTTTGTTAAAGCTAAGATCACTGCAAAATGAGTCTCACAATGTCAGGTTTATTTTTTTCCTTCGATAAATCGATGTCGTGCTTTCCGAAGAACAGAGAGATTACTAACAAATTTTTCAAGGTTCTGATCCCAAGATAAGGAGGTAAGTTTCCTGTAAGGTTGCAGTTCCGCAGAATCCTGCAACGAACAGAAATGGAAGTTAGCTAACTTAATGTGGGAAGAAACCCATACCAAGTTTGTATAGTGTTAGGCTCAAACTCACAATGTCTTCATCGATGTCATGTTTTGTAGTGGTGGAAATGGAGATTCAGGTCCGCTCAAGTCACTGATTCTCCTACAAAATTTCACATATTGAAAAGAGTAAATATACATTACTGAAATAACGAACTCCAACACGAAAAGTTTGTGTACTTACAAGTCTGTTAAGGTGCCAAGAGGACCAATGGCAGTAGGAATCGGTCCAACTAAACCACTTGCTTGAATAACCCTGATTGGTGAAGCAAAGCAAACATTTCAGTATTTTATGAGTAACCAATACCTGAAAGAATCTCTTTAAGCGGGAAGGGCCGCTTACAGTTTCTCAAGTCCTTTCCAGTTCTGGATGAAATCTGGTATGGTACCAGTGAATCGGTTGTCACTAATACGACTATCAACCAAGAGAATAAAATAAATAAATGTATCAGAAATCTTCAGCAAAACATATGTTCCATTAGGATCAAGTAAAACACACAGGAATACTTACAAATCAGTCAAAGTAGTAAGTTTGGCGAATGTACTTGGTATCTCCCCGGTCAAGTAGTTCGAGCTAACAAGCCTACAAAGAGTAAACATATTCTCATCACCAGCAAATACCAATCATTGTTTTTTTTCCTTTTTTCATAAAGGAACAGTTTGGGAGAACTTGGAAAAATATTCTTACAGTCTTTGAATGTTGGGTAGATTTCCGAGCTCTGGCGGTAACTTCCCTGAGATTTGGTTGTATTCCAAGACACTAAAAACCCCCCCAAAATTTTCCAGAAATTTTTAAAAAATAATATTTAATCAAGATTTAGAGTAATTTGAAATATAAAAGAAGAGCGAGATCAAAGAAGTGTGGACTCACAGACTAAAAAGAGTTGAAATGTTTGCGAGTTCTTTTGGGATTGGACCAGTTATCTGGTTTCCAAGTAGTGAGCTGCATTATCGTCATCCAACAAACAAACTCAATCAACCTATACATATATAATTAAGATGATAGAGAGAGACATATACATACATGTTTACAAGTGATGAGGTTCCCCATTCGACAGGAATGGAACCGTTGAGATTGTTTCTAGTAAGATCACTGTCGAGAAAGAAGAGAGAGTGAAAACAGTTAAGTTAGGTAATGAAAGATATGGAAAGAATAAGCTGAAAGATGTTGTAGGAGGAGAGATCAAAACTTGTGCTTACAGCTCTTGCAAGAAAGGAAGTCCCGAAAGATCAGTAGGAAGAGATCCCCCTAGGTCCTGTGCCTTGAGAATTCTGTTTTTCACACGATTAAGAGAGAAAAAAAAAAAAAGAAAACAACAGGATTTTAAAAAACGGTTGGCACAAATCATAGGCCCATTATATTGTCGGCCCAAATTCAATCAGCACGAAAGTTATTTAAAAAACAAAAAAAAACATCCCATAAATATTTACAGTATACGTAAAAAGATTAAATTAACATTACCAAAAAAAAAAACAAGATTAAATTAGGTTTTATTTTGATTCACGGATGCGTCAAAAGAGACGGCGTCAACAAAAGCTAAGCTTTCTACTAATAGTATTAAACAAAAACAAGTGGGATAAATAATACTATAAAAATCATTGGGATAGCTTTTAGAAAATGAGACCTACTCCTTCAAAGTTCAAACAAAGTCTAATATTTTTATAAAAAAAAAATTCATCACATACGAATAATAAATTTTTTCAGGTTCTCGCTTCAATGCCTATTGCCTAAAACTAAAATATATTTATGACGTAAAAATAAAGTAAAAATAGAAAGAAGAGAAAAAAAGGAACGGACATGTGGGTGACGTGGCAAACGGCGGGGGTGCAGTTACAGTTAACGGCGTACTCGAAGCCTTTAGGCTGGTTGAGACCCCTCCATCCGCCTGTAGTTATGGATTCGTTGCATGGATCCAGCGTGTAATCCCAATCAGTCTTATTCAACGCCTCCGCTACGCTTATTAATGCTTCGACTGCGATATTTCAGAATCCAAACACAGAGATATAGAGTGAGAGAGAGAGAGAGAGAGAGAGAGGGAGAAAACAAATCACATAAGTATTTTATGTACATCCGTATTCACTTCATGAAATTTGACATACCTTCTTCTTTGGGTAATAATGTTGCAGAGGATGCGAAGCCGGAGAAGAAGATAAGAGAGACGACGAAGAAGAAGTAAAGGTAAGAAGTGAAGAGAAGTTGCCGATTGAACGACATTTCAACACATTCAAAATTATTAATCGAAGATCTGATTTTGGGGGTAATGGAATCAAGAAATTGGAGATTTTATTGTGAGAGAGGAGGAGAAGAAGAAGAAGGAGCCGATGCCTATCTAATGTCGCTTCTCTCTATGTGACGACGAATGGGGAAGACATTTGGAAATGGAGACTGCAGAGGAGATAACTAAGTCAACAATACTATATAAAAATCATTAATATAAAGGCACTTAGTTTTTCTAATACTAATATTTATATATATTTTTGGTTTTTTCTATTCTTTTATAAATTAAATAATATTAAAGAGGATAGGATTTAAAAATTTGCTACTTGCATATATGATGAAGAAGAAGAAACATAGTGGGTCAGGTTAAATGGAAAAACAAAGAGAGGGCCAGCGAATTCTTTTTAGTACATACACACCAATAATAATTCATTTTGATTCTTCTTCATCTCGATATTATTTGTTTCTCTTTTTTTCTTCATGTATATATATTTGATTGAGGATAGAGATAAGTTGAATAATTGATTGAATTATTTTTTCTTTTATACATATATATGTGTTTGGTAGCTCAGCTTATTAAAAGGTATATTGTGTTTTATTTCATAATATAATCTAATTATAAATCATGCTTTTATGATAAATTAATCTTTTGTGTGTGTGGCATGAGTTATGCAAAAACTAAAAACCATTTACTATTACTACTAGAAGTTGTGAACCATGCATTATGCTTAATTTGGTGGGACTTGTGTTATAATTTATTCATTTATACAATAGTCAAAATTGTATACTGCTATAGGCCTATAGTTCGTGTAGTAATATAATTGATTATGGCCGAATCAAGTTCCAAGTTCCAATCTGAAAACGACCTTTTTTATTTTTCTTTTGGTATGAATAACATGTAAAGATTAGTATTATAGTGCGCGAACAAATTAGATAAAGTACGTGCGGTCGTAATTAGTGTGTTCTGGCTCTAAAGAAAGGTACACGTAGAAAATAAGAGGTGCCAACGTTGTCATTTTGACGTGGATTGCTTTTAGTATGTGATTTTTCCTTTTCTTTTTTTTTTCTTTTTTTTTTGCTAAAAATGTAAATATTTCATTAAAATGAAAATGGTTTAGGCTTACAATCAATGATTATAACTTATAAACATGGTCCTATGTCAAAAAAGATAAAAACATGGAAGCATAATTTTAAATCTGAAATTCGGTCCAACCACTCAACCAAAGCAATAAATCTGAAGGAGTTAGAAGAAGCGATAGACGATTTTGATTGTTCTTCTTGAATTTGCTGCAGGAGGTGAAGAGCGAGTGCAAGTAGAAGAAGCCCGAATGCAAAGTCTAATATCACTAGAAGCCTTTCAATAGACGTCCGAGACTGGGCCGTCAACGGCAAATACCTCAAATTTCTCGACCACATACGCCCCTCTTACGTCATGCGAGAGTAACCGGGTATCAAAATCCATGAGCTTTCCCAGAACGAAACCTCACGGACCAAATTACGCGAACGATGTGAGCTCCCTCTACCAAGTTCCCTTGAAGTCGGCTAGCTCAGAGCGAGATAATACAAATCAAAAAACCACATCGAGCGCCATTAGCCTTACTAGCTCCTCTAGGACATAAAACACAACGCATCGAGGGGCAAAAACACATTGCAAAAGCTATCTCCAACTCACCGCAGCACTAACAGGAAGACACGAGCAAAACCAGGGATTGAAGCAAAATCATCGGGTCAAGAATACAAGAGGTGTGAATCAAATTGAGACAGCAAAAAGCAACCACCGGAGGCTAAACTGTCACCAAAGCCAGCACCACCGTAGCTACCTGAGGGTATAAAATGAGTAACCGAGACGATACCTCACACTTGACGCGCCACAATGGAAGCTCTCCTAATAGTTCTGTGACTGTCCTCCAGCAGAATTTGCCAACAGAGAAGCGTCCATCCAATCGCCAAGCCTCATTTTCCAAGTTAGCACCAAAAAAATACCTTCACGGCAGCATTACCCTGAAAACCTATCTAAAGGAGAGTAACAAGAGTAGTCGAGGCCACGGTGACCGAAGAGGTGAAGGACAAGCAAGGCACGAAGCCAAGAAGCTTCACAACAGTCTCCGAAGACCACTCAAGACGCCACAAGCTCCGACAAACGAAGACGATCTACACGACGGGGACAGAGGCGACAAACTTCTGAAAGCACCGCCGACC